ACTTCAGACTCGGTTATTTAAAAAAATAAATCTTCAAACTAAGACCTCACCATCTCATTCCTGTGGAATAACATGGGTATAGAGCGTAGTATTTCCTCCAGACCTGGTTATTTCAAAAGAAATAGAAATTTAAACAAATCTTCGAATCTAAGACCCACCATCTTATTCCTCTTTTTTTCATTTAAAAATAAATTACCTTATTACATATGTGGATACAACACGTCACAAATAAATGATTGGTCGGCGGTCACACGAACTGACGAATCAGTCAAAATGGTCCATATATATAACACACAGAGGAGGGACCGATTCGATGGTTCGTTGACCGTCGATGATTTTTTAATCATGTAAATATATTCTAACGCCCACAAATATCCTGGAATTCAATGTTCGTAGACAAAAAATTAATCGAATAAGTGACCTTAAATGTATTTAAATATTGACTCTGATTATTAGGTTACACTATTTCGATTAGGATGAACTTTAGTTTTTGCTGTGTTTAGAAGATCTTCATTGAAAAAGATCGCACAACCAAAAACAAACAATTATGCGTTTAAACGGGTTAATCCTCATGTAGTATATTACAGACCAATCATGTGTGATTCTTTGTCTACACTATGGCCCGAATTCACAAAGGAGGTTTGTCGACAAACTTTGGTTTTCGTACGTCATATGACGCGTTTTACGCGTTTTTTTACAAACCTGGTTTGTAAAGAACAAAAGGAGGTTTGGCGAAACAAAAGGAGGTTTGAGCTCAAACCTTGCTTTGCGAATTCGGGCCTATAAGTAAATAAACCGTTGTAAAGAAAATTTATGTGTCATATGAGTGAACTATATATCATAAAATATGTTATCTCAGTGTTAAAGCAAATATCTGGAAACTACGTGCCTCTATTGCTTTTTAAAATTACTAACATATTCATTTATTTATAATCCTCATACAAGTGTATGATTTGTTTTGCATTTATGTCTTTAATCAGATTTCTGTTTAAGGTTGAAAAATGGCTCAAAAGCCATTAGGAGAAACTTTAGTTTTTGCTGTGTTTAGAAGATCTTCATTGAAAAAGATCGCACAACCAAAAACAAACAATTATGCATTAAACGGGTTAATCCTCACGTAGTATATACAGACCAATCATGTGTAATTCTTTGTCTACACTATAAGTGTATAAACCGTTGTAAAGAAAATTTATGTGTCATATGAGTGAACTATATATCATAAAATATGTTATCTCAGTGTTAAAGCAAATATCTGGAAACTACGTGCCTCTATTGCTTTTTAAAATCACTAACATATTCATTTATTTATAATCCTTATACAAGTGTATGATTTGTTTTGCATTTATGTCTTTAATCAGATTTCTGTTTAAGGTTGAAAAATGGCTCAAAAGTGGCAAACGCCAAACTCTTCAATAGAGATCAAGTAAAGGTTGTTAATATTCTTTATCTCATTGTATAATTAAAATAATTATTTCCTTTTGATCAGTCATACTTCATTTCAACTCCGTCTACTCTTGAAGCATCTGAAAAGTATTACTGAAAAACTTTTGGAGTTGTACGTGTTAAGTAGTTTTATATGGACGATTACTAAGTTACAGAAAGCCAGGTACATTTAGTATTTCGGCATCTTGTTCACTTGTTTTTCCTAGCTTAGAAGAACTGTCACGTGTTAGGTTGTTTGCGTTTTATATCAAGTTCAGTTGATGTTATCAGGTTCAATATTTGCCCAAATCATAACCTTGTTTGCTTGTAAAAGACATGTGAGTTACTCCACCTTTTTATACGTAATAATTATTTTGGTTCTGTTGCCGTCTGTACATTAATGAAACAACCTCTCCATTCGTTTGGAATAAAATACTTTCTATCTTACAAAATCTATGTATCCATCATTATAAAGCCATAACCTCTGCAATTTACTCACATTGATTGAGAGAGTATATTGATATTTTATCAGTCAAAGGGTTCTGCAATTCATTCAAAACATGCAAATATGTTTCGCGTGATCTAGTTATACAGCTATTTATGATTTGTTATATGAAAGTATGCGTTGTTATTTGCTTGTTAACCGATTATCATTTCAGACTTGTTCTTGTTTATATAGCTGCTTGAGTGTTTCAGAAGTAGGGAAAACTGTAATGTAAATGTGTTTTGTTTGTATTTGCCTTTGAATAAATTTCGTTCTCATGAATTCACACCGTGTACCGCGTACCAATTGGTAGTCTTCAGTATAAGTAATTGATACGTTCATCACATGAAGAAAGGTAATTCATTCACGCACTCATGCAAATATAACATCGCAATGCAACGTTTCAATGTCACTAATAGCGTACATATATATATATATATATATATATATATATATATGTTATATATCGTGAACATATTTCATAATCACATGCAAAAAACAATCAGCGTCAATATGTAAATACATTTAAGGTCACTTATTCGATTACTTTTTTTTCTACAAACTTGAATTCCAGGATATTTGTGGGCGTTAGAATATTTACATGATTAAAAAATCGTCGACGGTCAAAGAACCATCGAATCGGTCCCTTCTCTGTGTGTTATATATATAGACCATTTTGACTGATTCGTCAGTTCGTGTGACCGCCGACCAATCATTTATTTGTGACGTGTTGTATCCACATATGTAATAATGTAATTTATTTTTAAATGAAAAAAAAAGAGGAATAAGATGGTGGGTCTTAGTTTCGAAGATTTGTTTAAATTTTTATTTCTTTTGAAATAACCGGGTCTGGAGGGAAGTCTACGCTCTATACCCATGTTATTCCACAGGAATGAGATGGTGAGGTCTTAGTTTGAAGATTTTTCATTTTTTTTAAAAAATAACCGAGTCTTAAGTAAAGACTACGCTCTAATCCCATGCTTTATTACTGGGTCTTAATTTGGAAGATGGAGGGGTCTTCGTTTAAAAGTTTTGTTTTGTTTTGTTTTGTTTTGTTTTGTCTTGTTTTTTGTCTTTTTAAACTTTTGAATAACCGGGTCTGGAGGAAAGACTACACTCAATACTCATGTTCTTCCACAGGAATAAGATGATGGGGTCTTAGTTTTGAAGATTTTTAAAAAGTTTTGAAATAACCGCGTCTGGCAGAAAAACTACGCTCTAAACCCATTCCTTATTATCGGGTCTTAGTTTGGAAGATGGTGGGGTCTTAGTTTATAAGTTTTTTTTTTTTTTTTTTTTTTTACTTTTGAATAACCGGGTCTGGAGGAAAGACTGCCCGCTATACCCATGCTTTATTACAGGGTTTTAGTTTTGAACAAATGCGACAAAATATCACTTCAAATTTATTTCATTTGTGGGTAAAGTCATTATTACATTTGTGGGTGATTCAAAATTATTACATTTGTGGGTAAAGTGGTTATTACATTTGTGGGTGAAATTATTACATTTGTGGGTAAAGTGTTATTACATTTGTGGGTGTTATTACATTTGTGGGTAAAGTGTTATTACATTTGTGGGCGTTATTACATTTGTGGGTGTAACAGGGGGGTGGTGGTCATATTTCAGAAAATAAAAAATGCGCTCATAATTCTGACCAGAGGGGTTTAATTCATAATAATAAAAAGTTTTGTTATTTCGTATTCCTGAAAAGGTGATACAAGGTTCTATGTCATCGTCGCCTCGGAATTATGAACCTTCAGAATTATGAACCCTAAATAAATTCAAACTACGAACCCTAGTTCAATTTCGGAATTATGAATCTTCTCGATAACGAACCGGTGGAGTTTTGAAACTTCGGAGAAAATATCACTGGAAAGTTGATGTTCGAGTATAAGAAGTCCGTTCCCTCGTAGCCGTACCTCTATGGTCACCTCGACTGCAATGTGTCATAATTTTAACGGTTCGGTATACAGTGTTAGGCACATAATGGTGCCCCAGATTCAATTCGAAATATCGTTGCAATCGGTTCAACGAGATTAAATAAAAGATACTGATATTGTAGCCTATCGTGACCTCTTCAATTTGACAACTTGATCAATACAATCTGGCCTGGATTGTTAAACGGTTGCAATTTTACCAATTCATGTCAAAATTTGCCTCTGCTCAATTTTTGAGTAAAAATTGGTGGTTATTGCAATTTTGCAAGATTTGGCATTCCAAATGAGACTGACGCATGATGAAAGCAACTTCTGAACACGAATCTAAATTGGGGCAAAGACAAATTTTGGTATGAATTACGAAGATGACGACATTCAGTCATCCCATAAGGATCCTCTCCAATTAAAGACGATTTTTATTAACCCACACTGTAAATAGACACATAACCCATATCTTAAACAAACTCACTCTATGAACATTGATCTCAACACCTTGTCAATGAAATTTTAAAAAGTTGATCTGCAATTTTTATGAGGGTGTCGTCGGAATAAATGTGGATGAAATTTTAGAAGTTGGACGAAATTCCAATGTAGAGGAACTGACTGGCAAAACTCGGCTACCTTCTATCTTCTGCATCTATGATAAATTTGTCTGCATTACAGCCAAGAAATAACAGCCGGTCTAGAAATAAGAGACAAATATTATACATTGATTCAGAAGGTAGTGAGTTAAGGCAGCATAGTCTACAATGCTTACTTCAAAGTTACTTATAATTTCGGTGATTTGCGGTGCGATGGCAGCCTGGTCAGCTTACCAAACAACATCCACACCATTCGGAAGTTGGAAATCGATATGGTCTGGTAAGTGAAAGAAATTTCAGAAATCGACATCAATTTTGTTACAGTCTCAATCAAAACTTTTGAAGGCTGCCTTACAAGATTTTTTAAAGACGATAACAGTTTACTGTCAAAATTTTGAAGCGTTAAAAATATAATTAAAACAAATATCATGACCTCAGGATTGGCAGGATAAACCTAAAGCTGTCTAGAGTGGCCACCCCGATTAAACTTAATGGCCTTTACTTTGACTTTACATGAACTTGAAGAAAGCTAGCTTTTAATTTTTATATGATTTGTTTATTTGTTTAATTATTCAGGTTTCCTTGCTGCTGTTGCGTCCTGCATCTCTGTCCTGTTCTTGTGGATCCTGACCCTCCGTCCATCTCCCCAGCATGGAGTTATATCGGTTCTGCGTCATCTGTACTTCGCAGGCAAGTCTTACACCAGGGGAAAGTATTACCTTCGGAAACTAAAGACAGCTTGGAAGAACCCTCGTTATGCTCAGGATCAGTTTCTCATGAGAGTTCTCAAGGAAAATGGGGATACTGACTACGGAAGGAAGTTCAAGCTCAAGAACATCGTAAGCGCAGAGGAGTTCCGAAAACGTCATTCGTTGACGACCTATGAAGATTACAAACCTTATGTCGAACGAGTAATGGCTGGAGAGCAATGTGTGATGACCCAGGTGATGCCGAATGCATTTGTACAGACCTCGGGTACGACAGGTCCCTCAAAGTATTTCCCACAGAGAGATCAAAGGTATCTTTTAACAAGGATGATGGATGTTCTTTATACCAATCTGCACGAACTCTGTCCACGTCTGGGGCTGCTTCAGAAGAAGTTATTCCACTACGTCCAGCCAGTAATGTCTAGAGCTAAGAACGGAGGGAGTATCAGGTCTGCCTTTGCTTTATACGAAGATGGCTTCATGGCATCTTGCTATACGACACCGCCTTCGGGTTTTCGCATTCATTCCTACGACGATGCAAATTACATCCATCTCGTTTTTACTCTCCTCGATCCAAACACTGGTGCATTATGTGGCTCGTTTTTAGGCGGCATTTATACTATGATGAAGCAACTTGAGCAATGTTGGGAGGACATTGTGTATGATATCGAGCATGGAACAATCACTGAGAAGGTTAAGTTCGACGATGCTGACATCAGATCCTCTCTTGAACAGGCTCTTGGCGGAGGTCACCCGGAGAGGGCGGGCGAGCTGAGAAGGCAGTTCGAGAAAGGTTTTAACGGTATCATGAAGAGGGTGTGGCCAAACCTTGAGGTGCTTTCCGCCGTAGATAATGCTGGAAGTTGGCCTGATCTCAAAGCAAAATATGCAGAAGGTAGGCAATAACTTAACCTTAACTTTAGTTTTATTGCAGTGTTAGCTTGAAGGCACCATATTGGATAGTGCCGGCATCAGTCTTGCTCATGCGACAATAGCTCCGCGTCAATTTCCTCCACCAACCGAATTCTTAACATCAACTCTGGACCAACACAGTATCCAACTCTCACCCTTACCCAAAACCCAACCCAAAACACACCTGCAACCTTAACCCCTATACCTTTGACGAAATAGAGCTCGGAGTCACTGTCGCAGGGGCAAATGTCGAGTCACCGCACCCTCCTGTGGTTTAATCGAAAATAAATAGTTTATTTCTGAAATCTAGTATGGGGTTAGGCAAATGATTGGTTAAACAATAGTTTTGCTTGCTTTTGTTTGGTTATGTATTCTCGACTTCACTATCATGACCACTGTTAACCTTGGTGGCCGGGAGCATATGGTTCTAGGGATATTTGGAGGCTTTCTCAAAGGGTTTTTGGCTGCAACCTAAACTGGACAACTGGTCGTTGGTGTGCCTGTCGGGAAGTGAAGGTCGTACTCTCTAAAAAGTGAAAATAGAGTGAACATTCACTCTTTTCTTCTTAGAGAGCACTCTAAAATCAATCGATTTTCACTCCTAAACAAGTGATCACGGACGTCACTCCCAAGAAAGTGAAAATAGAGTGAAAATTCACTCTTTTTTTTAAAGAGAGTATGTACAAGTGGATCGTTCAATACGAATCCCCCTGCCAACATTTTCTCCAGGTCCAAATATGGTTCGTGATCATTATAACATGATTTAAGATTATGTTGAGACGTAGCCATTGGTTAAAATTCTGAAAGAAGCTAGAAGTATTTTTGAAAGGTTAACTACGTAGAACATAAGACTTAATGTACGTTTTGAGGTTTTGTAATAATCACAATGAAAAGATATATTCTCAATCTTTCAGAAAATCCCGAAAATGAGGGCATTTGAAATGGGGTCCTTTTTGGGGGACAATTCTGCGCTAATATGCTAATATTTCATTGATTTCCATTTCCCCCTTTGACTGCAAATTTACGCTATTCGATGCTTTGATACAGGTATACCGTTCGTGAACTTGGGATACGGGAATTCAGAGGCAATGATTCTCGGTGTATCTCCATGGTTCCATGAAGATAATCATAGCATGGTGTTTTGCACCAACATGGCCTTCTTTGAGTTCATCAGACATGAAGACTCGTGAGTGTATTTCATTAACAAAAATTATAGTTATATAGTGATTTTCCGCATATCAAGCCCAATGGAATAAACACGGTTGTTAATGCACTCCAACTACTCAAGTTCTTCTGAAAGAGTAACACCATTTCCATGGGGGGGGGGGGGGTAGTGAGCACTAAATTTGTTGGGGGCCCTCGAATATTTGAAAAATTGCACCCCCCCCCCCTTGAGGGCCAGGGGGGGGGGGCCATCTCCAAAAAAAGGTAAAATTAACGTTAAAAAATGTAAAAATACACATTTTTTTACCCAAGGGGGGGGGGGGGCGGGCCACCCGGGCCCCTCTGGATCCGCCACTGTATTGATTTGCCCAATCCCCAATGGTACTTCGGGAAGGTACACACTGTTAGAATGCTTGGTCTACCTTCCCGAAATACATTTGGGGACTGCGTGGGCAAATCAATATCATATAATGAACGAATGAAAACATGCATCATTTGTTTTATATTACGAATTACTCCTAGATCCTTGTTATGTGATGTAAACAGATTCATCCAACATTGTTTCGTGACAGTATGGCTGACAAATGAATCTCAAGTTCAGGCGCGGATCCAGGATTTCTAAGAGGGGGGGGGGCAAATTTTAAATCATGCGGGCCAAATATTGGTACGTAATGGCAAAGTCCCGGGGGTGTCCTTGGGCGGAGCCCCCGGAAGCTTAGGGGGTATGGGCATTTATTACGGTCAGATGAGCATAATATATTTTGATACCATATTCATGACAATGGCAGGTCACTAATTGGCGTGGGGTCCATGGGCTGAGCTCCCTGGAACTCAGGGATTTGAGGCATTGTATAACGGTCAGATAAGCATTCAGGGGCCCGCCTTAGGCCCCCTCATGGGGTCGAGGGGGCGGAGCGCTCGGAAGCTCAGCGGTTTTAGGCATTTACTTATGGTCAGATGAGCATATTTTGATGCCTTGTTTGTGACACTCGCAGGACACTAATGCGTGGGGTCCAGGGGGCGGAAGCGCAAGGGTTTAGGCATTTACTTAAGTTAAAAGAGCGTATGTTGGAACCTTATTTGTGACACTGGCAGGTCATTAAATGGCGTGGGTTCCAGGAGGCGGAGCCCCTAGAAGCTCAGGGGTTTTAGGCATTTAATCACGGTCAGATGAGCATATTTTGATACCACAATATTTTGTGACACTGGCAGGTCACTATTCTTTCTTTCTTTCTATTTGGTAGAGGGCTCGAGGCCCCCGAGACCCGCCGTTCCGCGGGCTCTGAAATGTAGGCCTCTTAATAAGCATATTTCTTGCCTGACTGTAAATCAGGAATTAGGAATTTGTCATTTTCCAACAAACGCATACAAAAGTATAATTTACTAAAAAGTGAGGAAAAATCTCGAAAAATCATGTCATTTCAGCGCCTTTTGAAAATTACCGGTATCGAATTAAAAATAAACCACGTTTTATATATATATTTTTTTTTTTTGGGGGGGGGAGGGGGTTGGTGAGCAACCATCCCCCCCCCCCCCCCACCCAATCATTTGATTAGGGTCTGGAATGAGTTGTATAATACCCCATGGATACAAATGGTTACGATATTGGTAATAGGGTAGAGAGAGAGAGAGAGAAATATAATATCGTAACCATTTTTCTTGGAGGAACAGCGCACAGCCATGGAGAATCTGTCTTGGGATTGGGAGTGGTGTTTTATGCAAAAATTAAAATATATTTTGTAAATGTCATTAAATTTTGCAAGTGAACTTGATTATGCAATTGCTTTTCATCTCATCTTTTTTCACAGGAACGAGAGTCAGCCGAAAACGCTCTTGATTGACGAACTCGAGATCGGGCAGGAGTACGAGCTCGTCTTTACCCAAGAGAGTGGACTCTATCGATACAGACTAGGAGATGTCATTAGGATAACTGGCTGTCACTACAACTGTCCTACATTCGAGTTCATGTATCGGTGAGTGTCACTATCCCACATATTCCGATTTATAAGGTTTTATAAGGTTTTTTTAAAGTTTCATTGAATAAAACACGTAAATCAGAGAAGCAGTGATACGAATACGTCAATCATCTGTGCAAATTTGAAAAAAGCACCTGTCGAATTTAGCCCATACACCAACCTTTGTGAGTAGGAAGTAATATGAATGGAATTTACAAAGCACGAACAAATGAAAAAAAAATCCCCCTGGGATGTCCCTTTATACATCCATTCTAATTCAATATGAAGAAATTAGAATACTGGAGAAATCTACCAACAACTAATTGCCTCTTATGAACATTTTATCACAGGATGGGCTTGATTATGAACTTGCGGTATGAGAAGATGAACCAGGTCGTTCTTAAAGCAGGACTCCAGTCGGCCGTGGGGCAGTGGAATGATATGAGGCTATTCGAGTATGCAGTGGCTGAGAGCACACTTGTTCCGAAATCATCCCCAGGTCTTTAACCTTTTCACAATTTGTTAAACTTCATCTGTTTATGCACTATAAGCCATTCCTATCAACATTATATTGATTTGTATCCTATCTATTTGGTGCACGTATACGTGTATTACCTCTCATAAAATAGATAAGTGTTTTTCTTTTCCTAGTCTCTAATATTTTATGGCTAAACAAATATTGTTTCATCATCCCTAATATCATAAACGGAGATATTCATACGGTGTAAGTATCAAACGGTACGTTTAAAGCCGGGTTAGGGGTGCATGCCACATTGAGCAAAAGTATAATTTACTAAAAAGTGAGGAAAAATCTCGAAAAATCATGTCATTTCAGCGCCTTTTGTAAATTACCTCTCATAAAATAGATAAGTGTTTTTCTTTTCCTAGTCTCTAATATTTTATGGCTAAACAAATATTGTTTCATCATCCTTAATATCATAAACGGAGATATTCATACGGTGTAAATACCAAAGGGTACGTTTAAAGCCGGGTTAGGGGTGCATGCCATATTGAGCACTATAAATTATCCGCGTAAAGCACTTCTGAAAAGCTTTAAAGATACTATGTCTCTTTTGCTTTTGCAGCCAACATCAAATTCTGTAGAACTTTGCAGGAATAATGAATATGCCATGTATATCCTATTTGTGAAATTTTAACGTTAGCAGTTTCCTAATTTTCAAATTATGAAGGAAACCCGTTTACTTGCTAGACTTCACTGTCAGACACTATTGGGTGACAAACTTTTTTTTTCTTCCTTGGTAATAACATAAATAAAATGAGCTGTAAAGGGTACATGAGCATTTGTTTACATCAATAACCCACTTTTTGTAATGGCCAAAATTAAACTGATTGAATCTTTGCGCAGCATAAAAACGACCATTCGGTACAATGGTCTGAAAATCAGACTATTACTTACATGGCTCTATAGCTCTTAAGTCGATTCGACAACTAATAGTCACTTATTTTCCAACTTAAAGACATTTTCGAGCCCCCCCCCCCCTTTTTTTTTTAGGGAAGTTCTAAATTAGTATTTGCTTTCAAATGCCGTTGGAATTTAACCTTTTCATTTTTTTTGGCCTGCAAATGGGACTTAGTACCTTTAAGATCCAGACCAGATCTTGGTCCAGACCAAAATCGAAGTCTAGAGTCGTTTACCCCCGGCTGGGCGAAAACTACACGATTTATAGCGACTATCCGATTTTGGAAGGATATGCAATAGCATTTGATACAAACATTCAAACATATAGAATCTTAATGACTGATGATCTGAATAGTCATATGATTATGAACAACTTGATTTCAAGGGATTTTAGGATTTCTTAGAAGTGGAAAAGCTAAATCCGCTCAGAATCGTACGTGCATGGTGATCGACGTCTGAACAGTAGTGCGATTCGCCTTTTATTCTGACTTGAAGAGTTAAATTAACCCAAATTTCGGTATTATTATTATTATTTACAACCTAAATCACGAAGACGATGTTCGTTAACATTTCCATAGAAAATTCGCACTCGATTCTTTTTTGTGCGAAATAGAAAATCATTATAATTCTTACTTTCCGTGGTGCGTTCCTTTTGAATCTCATTCGATTTCGATATTCAATCTATCTTCGTTTAGCATTCGAAGAGACTGAAGACATGCCGTATTACGTGATTTTCTTGGAGCTAGACCAGACAGTGAGCAAGAGCGGAAATAAAGAAACCAGCAAGACGGCAGAGCTCGCATCCAATGAGATCACGAGTTCGGTAAGTAATAACAATCATTTGGTCTTATTTAGCTTCTGTAGCAATTGTAATTACCCCAACCTTGCCTGGTATCTGGTTGCAGTGGGTTAAATACCTTGTCCGAGGATGCAAGTACCGAGCGATAATCGAACCCGGGACCTCTCGTATTAAGTGCCTTAATTTAGTCACCAAAATAAAGACATCGTTAAGTATACTCGGTAGGAATGATGGAGTCTAAAGAGTTGGTCAAGCGGGGAAGGGTAGGGGCGGAAAAGAGATCTTGTTGTGTGAATCATTCAATGTTTGATATCCTCATACCTAAGTTCGATAAAATCATTCTTATTTGGATGTAGATAAAAATGTTCATTTAGTGTTTACATGGCACGTCTGAAAAATTGTTAGTATGATGTATCATGCACTGTTTAACGCTAGCTTTGGACTTTGATTTATTTCCGAGACTGTTTAATTTCAACAAGAGAGATTAAAATAGTCCCTAAAGTCCTAAAACTGAGATGATATTGATTCAGGATATGTATGATTGTTTTTATTTTGTTGTTTTCTTTCTCTGATTACAACGGATAGATCGACGCAGAGCTTCGTGGTCTTAATAGCATCTACGAGAGACTGCGGAGAAGTGGCGCCATTTCACACCCTCGTGTTCACATCCTGAAACCCGGCACGTTTGAAGATTTGAAACAGCATGTGGTGAATACGACCAACACTACGGCAAACCAGTATAAAGTACCTCAGAGGCTCCGCACAGTAGATACCCTTAACTTCATGTTTGATCATGCGGTGTAGACCCTCTCTGTCCTGACTTCTTCTTGGAGGTCCTCTCCCATTTGCTTTCATTTCATTTACTTCGTTGTTGATGAAGGAATACATTTGGTTCAATCCAAGACTCATGATAAAACAACAGCAAACAAGAAACGACAAAAAAAAAGGATGCATGTCGATTTTCTATAGATAAAGTAACAATTAATGCATTTTGGTCTTCGCAAGATTTGTCGCACAGTTGTCACAAACTGTGTGTTACTGGACATAGGCTTTCGATTTCAATCTCGAAAATTCAAAACTTTTAAAATCTGATTTTGCTCAAATTTTCACTGTTCTGTTTCTATAGATGTCTGCTTTTATTATAACCAGCGAAATATCGGAGTGGATCTCCCCCTTATCACTATCTAATTTAACATAAGACCATCGCGTGAACATAGGCAGCCAAATAACATTGTATACATCATATGACTTGTCTTATTCTCTTGGGCAGCATTTTTTTTTAACCGGGGTGCCGCAAGACATTTTTAGGGGTGCCACGAGATAATTTTAGCAGTATAACAAAAATAATATTATTTTGAATAACGTCGATATTATAAACCGCTATAGAGTAGGGTTTTTTTCATGAGGAAATAGCATTGTAAAGATAATTAAGTAACTTTATTCCTCGCTCGCTCGCAATTACCTTTAGAAACATAACGATTCCAGGCAGCAAAATGTCTAAATACCGCCATAGTTGAGCAACGAGGTGCGTGAATATACAAATAATACACAGCAGTGAGGGCAAATTACGCGTTAGGCAATATAAGTGCCTGGTCACGTGTACGCTTTCAACCAATCTTTTGATGAGGATCTACGTCATCATCTTATAACATATTTTATATCTTTTCTTACGAAATTACATGTTTACCCATGCGCTTCACTCGCTCGCAATCTTTTGACACAGGATAACAGGATATCCTTATATTTGTGCATTGAGGTGACCACACATAATGATTTGTGTATTTATGTATTCGGCAGTGAGGTACCCGCACACGTGATTCTATATTTTATCTTATTTGTAGAATATAAAGTAAAAAATGTAACCATATTAAGTGTCATTATGTTTTTAGAAACAACTATTCCCATGCAAAAAAATGTTACCATATTAAAAGTGTCATTATGTTTTTCTCGCTCGCTTCGCTCGCTCGCAAAATTTAGAAACAATTACGCCCATGTAAAAACTGTTACCATATTAAAAGTGTCATTGTCTTTTTTTCACGTTCGCTTCGCTCTCTCGCATGTACATATGTACATAGCACTTCTTTAGTGTCAGGGTCATGCAAAATGAATCATCTGGCAAATTTAGGGATTGAGGGTGACCCGAAAAATTAATTTTCTTAAAAGGTTGCCGTGACTAAACAAAAGGTGGGAAAACGCCGCGCTGCTTATGGGCATCGTTTAAAAGGAAAACAATTTTCTCTTAACCACATTTCATCTTCTATCTAAGGCAGTCTTCAGGTTTCCGAAGTGAGGCAATAGGGACTTTTAGATTTGCAAAACGACAACGTGGATTGCTACGATCGACGTCCTTTTAATGCACTGCCTTGAATGGACATCACACGTATCAGTCCACGAAAATCTAACAGTCCCTATTAGCATAGTAGGTCTATCAATATTGATAAATATTGTTCAATATCGAGGAAAATCGAGTAAGTTCTGGTCTATCTGACTCCCTTGCATTGTACATTGTCTCGTATGTGTTATTTGATTTTTAGGAAACTAGTTTGTTTATATTTTATTCCAACGCGATAAAGCAATGGAAGTCGTTCCTACCCTCTTGAACTAATCTTTCTCTGCTAATCCGCCAGGCTCCAACACGTTAAGAGCTTTCCTAAAATCTACCGTCTTCGTATTTTCGTAATTAAATCTTAATCTTTATGTTTGTCTGTTCGCTATTCATAAGGACCGCTGTTTATAAAATACCGGTATACACTGAGCCTCGCGTTATGGATAGCGGTCCTTACGAATAGCGGTCCTTATGAAAGACGGTCCTTATGAATAGCGAGGTAAATTGTCTATGGTTTGCTCTTTATTTATAAGAGCCGCTATTCATAAAGGACCGCTATTCATTTTGTCACGTGTTATGGATAGCGAGCTTCAAAAGTTGGCCCAACTGTTGTGCCTTTTACGAATGGAATCTTACTTTTTTTTTATGTATAAATCATTTTAGCGGTCACTAAGTTGAAATGTTTCGTTTAATATTAACTTGTACTTTTACTATTTCTCATGGTCCCATAATGATCATGTTTAGGGGGATTTCCTAATCCTAACGTTTGATTGGATTTATGTCATTTATATCGTAATGATCGAATTACTTCCTCTCTTTCTTTCTTTTAAATGAAATATAAAGAGAAGAATGAGTTATGAGGAGATAAAAAGATGCTTATGAGCATTCTTCTTATCAATGGTCCCAAATGAAAGCGTTCCCAATTTAAAAACTGTTATATACTGGGTGTGCCTAAGAAGTGTGTAGATTTAGAATAATTAGTGAATTAAAAGCATAGAATTATGTTATGTATTTGCTGTGGGCTGTTTGTTTTCTTACTCACTTAAAGAGACTCTACACTTTATTATGTGCTTCACAAATTCATCTTTAATGTTGAAAAAAAAACTTATTATTATTATTCTTATTATCATTGATTTTTAATTGTTACTTTAAAAAAAATTGTAATTATTATCATTATTATTATAATTTTGTATTAATATTGTTGTTCTTTTTCTTCTTGTTCTTGTTCGTTTTCTTCTTTGTTTAGATTTACAATAAATACTGAATTAAAAGCATAGAATTGTGTTATGACGTATTTGCTGTGGGCTACTTAGGTCTTAGAAATAAGAAACCGGCAAAAGCTGTTTTGTATACAGTTGCTTATTATAATAAAGTTACACATGCACACGTTTGTCATTGACCATTGAATTATTCATAATGATGTAGAAAGTTGGAATTCGAATATTTGTTATAATGATAACAAGACAAGAAACAATTTAAAGATGGAGAAGGAATTGCGAGTACAAGTTATAAATTTCATTGTGTTTATAATAACTATCTATTTCAGTATACCTATTGCATATTTAATGTAAAGCTGGTAATCAATTATAATCAGTATCAATTATTATCAATTAAAGGCAGTGTATTTTACAAAGACAGCTAGTATTGTATGTTTGTATTTGTGTGTATTCACTAGGCGGTGCGTGTTTCAATTAATAAACATTTATAATGTGCATACGCATATCGTTCAATCTATCAAGTATATAATGTATAGTAGCGGCAAAGACCCCGCGAAAGGGCGACGGACGTGAAAATCACAAAATAGGGACTTTTAGATTGAGTGGACGAGAGAACACGACGAACGCCGAATGATCATGCGTGTCAACGTACTCAACTGCCCATGTTGACTACAATAGGCCATTTCGTAATGTAACCAAATTTAATGCATAAGTCTTTGTGAAGTGCCTTAATACAAATTATTTCGTTCACCCGTTAGGAATAATAGTATTTCAATAGTCAGAAGGCAACTGCATATATTAAGTGTTGCTAGGTAGGTCAAGCCATAATGTTTGTCCAACCCGGCAACAACTAATGTATGCAGTTCAGATTCTGTCTATTGAAATACTATTATTCTTATCAGGTGAATAGAATAATCTGTATTGAGGCACTTCACAAAGACTTATGCATTAAATTTGGTTACATTACAAAAATGGCCTATTAGATTGCACTCGACGATATACATGCATGCAGGAAGTAACACTATGAACTTGACGGACAAAGAAAGAGGACAAAATATACAGTTCCTCATTTTACCCTCAAAAATTGCTGTGGTAGACAAAAGAACATCCCTTCACTGCTATTATGTAAAAATGTGTAGAACAGGTGAATATGCATGTGACACCTGTTCTACACATTGTTACATAATAGCAGGGATATTCCTTTGTCTACCTGAGGAACTGTATATTTTATGCGCACGCGGCATACTAGTAGGGCCTACCGTACTAGATTTAGGAAAATCAAGGTTGACGCATTCTCGATCGCCGACTGAGACGACATGACGCATGCGCAGTGTCTTAAAATGACGTCATACGTTGCAGTCAAAGCTGTCGACGTGCAAATCTAATCATACTTCAGAAAAAGGGCTCATGATTCCCAATACTTGTTTCGGTATTCCGATTGTTCGTTTTCCTGGAAAAAAAGGGATACAGGGTTCGAAGGCATTGTCGCAAATATGAACCTAAGAATAATGAACCCTAACTAATTTCAAATTACGATCCCTAATTCAATTTCGGAATTATGAACCTTCTCGGAAAATGTAACTGGAAAGTTGATGGTCGAGCATAAGAAGTCCGTTCCCTCGTAGCCGTACCTCTATGGTCACTTCGACTGTAATGTGTCATAATTTTAACGATTCGGTATACAGTGTTAATCCTAAATGTAGTTTCCATTAGTTTATCTAGATTAAGTAAAGTATACTGATAATAGGGACTTTTAGATTGAGTAGACGAGAACACGACGAACGCCTACTGATCATGCGTGTCAACGTACTCAACTGCCCATGTTGACTACAATTAGAAATATTTTAGATTGCACTCGGCGATATACATGCATGCAGTAAGTACACTATGAACATGACGGACAACGAAAGAGGACAAAATATACAGTTCCTCATTCTACCCTCAACAACGAACTGCATACATTAATTGTTGCCAGGTTGGACAACATGATGGCTTGACCTACCTAGCAACACTAAATATATGCAGTTGCATTCTGACTATTGAAATACTATTACTCCTATCAGGTGAATGAAATAATTTGTATTGAGGCACTTCACAAAGACTTATGCATTAAATTTGGTTACATTACGAAAATGGCCTATTGCTGTGGTATAGAACATCCCTTCACTGCTATTATGTAAAAATGTGTAGAACAGGTGAATATGCATGTGACACCTGTTCTACACATAATAGCAAGGAAGGGATGTTCCTTTGTCTACCTGAGGAACTGTATATTTTATGCGCACGCGGCATATACTAGTACTGTACTACATTTAGGAAAATCAAGGTTGACGCATTCTCGATCGCCGACTGAGACGACGTGATGCATGCGCAGTGCCTTAAAATGACGTCACACGTTGCAGTCAAAGCTGTCGACGTGCAAATCTAAAAGTCCCTCTTGTAGCCTGTGGTGATCTATTTAAGTTAGTCAACTTGATCAATAAAATCTGGCCTGGAGAGCTAAACGGTTGCAATTTTTTTTACCGATTAATGTCAAAATTTGCATTTGCTTAATTTATTTATGAGTAAATATTGGTGGTCAGTGCAACTTTGCAAGGTTTGACTTTCTAAATGGAACTCGCACATGATGAGAGCAACCCCTGGGGGGCGTTTCACAATACTTGTCTTCAGTGACAAATGACAACTTGTGTTATAAGCTACTGAAATCCTTGCTTCTGATTGGTTAGCTACAGATTTGTCACTGATTTGTGTCATTTGTCATTGAAAAAAGGCTTTGTAAAACGGGTGCCAGAACACGAATCAACCAAAATTCGGGCAAAGGCAAATTTTGCATGCTTTACGAAGATGGCGAGTGCTCGGTCATCTGTGATTGCATTTTGATGGCCTATCCAATTAAAGACGATTTTATCAACTTTCATAACATTATGGTATATTTCAGCAATTCTAGTTGAGATTTTGGTGTGAATACACCACCCCCCCCCTTTATTTCTTTATCAACCCACACTCTATATAGACATTATAGTTCATATCTTAAGCAAAATCACTTCATGGACTTTGATCTCATTACCTTGTTCAATGAAAATATAAATGCTTGATCTGCAATTTCAATGGGGGTGTCGTCGAAGTAGATGTAGATGAACTTTTAGAAGTTGGACGAAATTTTATAACTAATTTTACGACTAATTTTACGACATATTTCCATTTTGAAATTTGTTGATAATCAACAGTAAAGCAACGCTTAAAATGAAATAAAAATTAATGTTCCGGCTATCTTGGCGATATTTCTTTTTGCTGGAAATCAATGTTAGTAGAGTTGTCGGTGGGAAAATACTGCAATGATTTCTGAAAAAGTAACAAATTTACCGACAACATTTAAGGATCTTTGAATACAAATTATGCTCCATCGATTTATCGGCTTATATAGGTCTATTGTTCCAGCTTTCCTGTCACTTGATAAATCAAGTTAAATTATACTTATGATAATATCAAACATTGCACACGTTTGATATTCGGTGCCATGTCACATAATACATCACTCCCGATCCTCGTGCTTTCCTAAACTTACATTTATTGACTTTACTCTGATACTAAAGGGTTATGTCTATATTTGATATAGATTTATCGCTAGATGCACAGATAAAAGTTGTATCGCTATATATTCTTCAGTCGCGATTTCATCCGAGTTAATGTTAGCTTCCAATGTAAAGGAACTGACTGGCAAAACTCGGCTACCTTCTATCTTCTGCTTTTATGATAAATTCGTCGGCATTACAGCCAAGAAATAACAGCCGGTCTAGAAATACGAGACATATATTATAAACCGATTCAGAAGGTAGTGAGTTAAGGCAGCATAGTCTACAATGCTTACTTCAAAGTTACTTATAATTTCGGTGATTTGTGGTGCGATGGCAGCCTGGTCAGCTTACCAAACAACAATCACATCATTCGGAAGTTCGAAATCAGTATGGTTTGGTAAGTGAAAGAAATTTCAGAAATCGATATCAATTTTGTTTCAGTCTCAATCAAACTTTAAAAGACTGATTTACAAGGAATATAAATATTTTAGGGGTGTCTACAATTTAAATCAAAAGGGAGAAAGAAAGAAAGTGAGAGAGAGAGAGAGAGATAATATCTCTATTATTAACCAGTATTAAACTAATTTAATGAAATTGTATAGGTGCTGTTGTTGGAGTATGGACCGGAATTGTTATGAATTCACGTTTGATGTCCCTGCATGATGATTTAGTTTCTTCTTCAACTGATATTTCAACCTTAACGTGAATAATATACTGAAGGAAACAACCAAGCATTGTACATGTATGAAAAAAGGTCTACCCTTTAAGAATCTACTTATTCAATTATATTTGATATGATCACCATGCCCTCGATAAAACTTGGATACTAAATCTCCTTTTAGTGTACACAATATTCATCAAACATCCTGTTGTGATGAGAATCGGATTTAAATTGAAGAATTACCACAACATTGTCAGGCAACATGTATTTTCCTCTTATATTTTGCAAGGATGTTATGCAATACGCTGTCTGTATAACGTCTGAAAATACAAGGTCTTCTAAAACAAACGTAACTCTGTAGTATTTGCTTAAATCCTCTAAAGTTCACACAAATTTTAGGAGATACAATGACATCGCTACCTACGAAGTCTTACTAAGGATAGTTAAAAGATTTTTTAAAGATTTTGCCAATAGAAACCTCCTTGTTTTTTGATTTATTTTAGACACCTTGAAGTTCGAGAGTTCCATTTTAAACAAAGTTCATTAGCTCCCGAAAAAGAATGTCTTTCTGTACGTGACCGCCAGTTTATAAAACAAATTTGCTCATTTCACAAGGGTCTCGTGGACATTCGATCAATAGTGCTGAGCCAAAGATAATATATCAAAATATAATTATCTGCAGTTCACGAAGACTCCTTATAACGAATAAGACCCTGGTCGTATAAACAGTAGGTCTATAATTGTAATCCAACTTTTAAACCTTGAAAAAGTGCCAAATGACTGCCAGCAGAATGAATAGTGAAAAGCAAACGAGAATGGATACGAAAACATTTTAAAGCATTAATTTTTAAGATGTAAAGACGATAACAGTTTGCCGTCAACATTTTGGAGCGTTACATGCAGATCTGTTTTCAGACCCTCGTACCGAATAGTCGTACGTTTTGTGCCGCGCAAAGATTCAATCAGCTAAATTTTGGCCATTACAAGAAGTGAGTTATTGATGTGGACAAATGGTCATGTATCCTTTACAGCTAATTTCATGTATGTTATTACCAAAGAAAAAAAGAAGTCAGTTGGTCACTCAATAGTGTCTGACAGTGAAGTCTAGAAAATAAAAGGGATTCCTTGCATAATTTGAATACTAGGACACTACTAACGTTTAAATTACACAGACAGAACATTACGTGGCATATTCTTAATTCCTGCAAAGTTTTACAGAATTTAATGTTGGCTGCAAAAGGGAAACACTACATTTAAACTTTGACTTTTACATGAACTCTAAGAAAGCTGGCTGGAATTTTTTTAGGTGATTTGTTATTTTTTTATGTTGATTTGTTAATTTTTTATGTTGATTTGTTGATTTGTTAATTATTCAGGATTCCTTGCTGTTGTTGCGTTCTGCATCTCTGTCCTGTTCTTGTGGATTCTGACCCTCCACCCATCTCCTAAGCAGGGAGTCATATCGGTTCTGAATCATCTGTACTTCGCAGGCACGTCTTACATAAGGGGAAAGTATTACCTTCGTCAACTAAAGACAGCTTGGAAGAACCCTCGATATGCTCAGGATCAGTTTCTCATGAGAGTTCTCAAGGAGAATGGGGATACAGACTACGGAAGGAAGTTCAAGCTCAAGAACATCGTAAGCGCAGAGGAGTTCCGAAAACGTCATTCGTTGACGACCTATGAAGATTACAAACCTTATGTCGAACGGGTAATGGCTGGAGAGCAAGGTGTGATGACCCAGGTGATTCCGAATGCATTTGTACAGACCTCAGGTACGACAGGTCCCTCAAAGTATTTCCCACAGAGAGATCACAGGTATCTTTTAACAAGTATTATGGATGTTCTATATACCCATCTGCACGAACTCTGTCCACGTCTGGGGATGCTTCAGAAAAAGTTATTTCACTACGTCCAGCCAGTAATGTCTAGAGCTAAGAACGGAGGGAGTATCAGGTCTGCCATGTCTTTATATGAAGATGGCTTCATGGCATCCTGTTATACCACACCGCCTTCGGGTTTTCGCATTCAATCCTTCAACGAAGCAAATTACATCCACCTTCTTTTTGCTCTCCTCGATCCAAACACTGGTGTATTCTGTGGCACGTTTATAGGCGGCATTGATACTTTGATGAAGAAACTTGAGCAATGTTGGGAGGACATTGTGGATGATATCGAGCATGGAACAATCACTGAGAAGGTTAAGTTCGACGATGCTGACATCAGATCATCACTTGAACAGGCTCTTGGCGGAGGTCACCCGGAGAGGGCGGGCGAGCTGAGAAGGCAGTTCGAGAAAGGTTTTAACGGTATCATGAAAAGGGTGTGGCCAAACCTTGAGGTGCTAGCCGCCGTAGATAATACTGGAATTTGGCCTGATGTCAAGGCAAAATATGCAGAAGGTAGGCAAATAAGGTTAATTTCATGAACTTTAGTTGTATTGATGTGTTAGCTTGAAGGCACCATATTGGATCTACAATAGGTAGTGCCGGCATTAGTCTTGCTCATGCGACAATAGCTTCGAGTCAATTTCCTCCACCAACCGATTCCTCCACCAATTCCTAACATCAACTCTGGACCAATACTGTATCCATCCCTCACCCTAATCATAAACCCAACCTAAAAAACAATTGCAACCTTAACCCTGACCTTAACCCCTATACCTTTGACGAAATAGAGCCCGGGGTAGGGGCAAATGTCGAGTCACTGCACCCTTCTTTGGTTTAATCGAAAATGAATAGTTTTTGTCTGAAATATAGATATGCATGGCATTAGGCAAATATTTTTTTTTATTTTTTTAAAGAAAACATTTGCTTGCTCTTGTGTGGTTATGTATTCTTGACTTCACCACCACGGCCACTGTTAACCTTCATGGCCGGGAGCATATGGTTCTAGAGATATTTGAAAGCTTTCTCAATGGGTTTTTGGCTGCAACCTAAACTGGACAACTTGTCGTTGGTGTGCCTGTCGGGAAGTGAAGGTCTTTGGTAATCATTCAATACGAATTCCCTTGCCACTATTTTCTCCATGTCCAAATATGGTTCGTGATCATTATGATCATTATGATTTAAGATCATGTTAAAATTATTGGTTGAAATTCTGAAAGAAGCTAGAAGTATTCTTGAAAGGTTAATTACGTAGAACATAAGACTTAATATACGTTTTGAGGTTTTGTATTAATCACAATGAAAAGATACATACTCAGTCTTTCAGAAATCCCGAAAACGAGGGCATTCGAAATGGAATCCTTTTTTTGAGACAATTCTGCGCTAATATTCTATTCTTTCATCGATTTTCATCTTTCCCTTTGACTGCAAATTTACGCTATTCTATGTTTCGGTACAGGTATACCGTTCGTGAGCATTGGATACGGGAACTCAGAGGGGATGATTCTCGCTATTTGTCCATGGTTCCATGAAGATAATCATAGCATGGTGTTTTGCACCAACTTGGCCTTCTTTGAGTTCATCAGACTTGAGGACTCGTGAGTATATTTCAATTTTAGATTTGTCACTGTTAGATAGTGGCTATACGAAGATCAGCCCAATAGAATAGACACGGTTTATGCACCCCAACTATTCAAGTTCTTCCGACATATAAACGCCATTTTTGTTTACATCGATTCCCAGATTTCCCAAATATTTATCGATAGTCACGCACCCATCCCTTCACCTTATTGATCTTTTCCATGTTGTTACGCTGGCACATCAAACATTTAGGCTGTTATCTCACGGACAAAAATGGTAACAATGTTGGTAATGGGGTAGAATGAGAAAGAGACAAAGGGAGAAACAGAGAAAGAGAGAGAGAGGGGGGTGTGTGATATTGATTTGCCCAGTCCCCATGGTTATTTTCACTTTTCGGGGTGGTACACCAAACATTCAAACACTGTAGGCTGTTATTACCCCATGGACAAAAATGGTTACGATATTGGTAATATGGTAGAGTGAGAGAGAGAGAGAGAGAGAGAGAGAGAGACAATATCGTAACCATTTGGGGATTCGGATGGGTGTTTCATGCACGCACTGAACTACATATTGAAAAAACTTATGCAATTGAAGTTTTTTTTTAAATCTCATCTTTTTCATAGGAAAGAGAGTCAGCCGAAAACGCTCTTGATTGACGAACTCGAGATCGGGCAGGAGTACGAGATCGTCTTTACCCAGGACAGTGGACTCTATCGATACAGAGTAGGAGATGTCATTCGGATAACTGGCTATCACTACAATTGTCCTACATTCGAATTCATGTTTCGGTGAGTGTCACTATCCCACAGATTCCGATTTGTTAGGTCTTGTAAGTTATTTTACAGTTTCATTGAATAAAGCACGTAAATCAGAGAAGCAGTGATATGCAAACGTTTATTTTCTGTGCAAATTCGAGAAACGTACCTGTCGAATTAAGCCCCAAGAGCCCCCCCCCCCCCCAAAAAAAATAAAAAAATAAATAAAAAACATACACACCCAAATTTGGATAGATTTTACCCCGTCTAGCCCACGAATCATCCTTTGTCAGTAGGAAGTAATATGACTGGAAATTGCAAAGCACAAACAAATGACACCCCCCCCCCCCCCCGAAAAAATAAAAAAAATAAAAAAGTCGGGATGGGGTGTTAGATGGTCTCTAAACATTGGTTAGCCCAATTGACCGAATTTTGTCAGAAGGAAGAGCTATAGCTTTAAATTACAGAATTATAAAAGCCGCACAAAATGTTCTGTCGAAAAACGGATGTAACACAAACTTGAAGAGAAACCACCAAACTGCCCTTTAAACAAAGCGATGCTGCCCCTAAAACGTTTAGAATGTGAAGAAGAAACAAACCTGCTTTTTTAAAATTCTGGCCTTGATTACTCAAAGGTAGTTAATTCAATTTAATTCAAATTTACATACATCAATTTTGAGTAATAACATTTTCATGAGGCGCATTTTGCTGTCAAATGATCATTTCATTAAGAAGTTATTAAATCGTAAAAACTAGATATCCCACCCACTTTGTTGGCACTTTCCACCAAGGTTTGAATAGGTACGTGGCAATTGTTAGAGTAATAATAAAATAAAATAATAAAATTATTATTGTGATTTTTGAAAAACGTCCTGTAGACGTTGTAACGTTTATGGAACTTTCATTAACGTCTCAAGAACTGTTTGCTTTCCCTGGGATGTCCCTTATCGTATCCGGACACCTACCCCCTGGACATCCAATCCCCGGATAACCGCCCCCGTCAACTACCCCTAGGACAATTATCCCCTAGGGCAACCATCCTCTAGGACGACTACCCCCGGGACAACTATCCTCGGACTACTAGCCCCTAGACAACTACCCCTGGGACAACCTTCCGCTAGGGCAACTACCCCGGACAACTACCCAAGGACAACTACCCACCGGACAACTACCTCCTAGGATAGTTGTCCTGGGGGGAGTAGTTGTCCTAGAGGATGGTTATCGTAGGGGGTAGTTGTCTGGGGGAAGTTGTCGTAGGGGGTAGTTGTCTGGGGTACTTTTCCGGGGGTAATTGTCCGGGGGTATTCGTCTTAGGATAGTTGTCCGGGGGTAGTTGTCTAGGGGGTAGTTATCCTAGGGGGTAGTTGTCTTGGGGGTAATTTTCCGGGAGGTAGTTGTCCCGGGGGGGGGGGGAATAATCGTCCTAGAGGGTTGTTGCCCTATAGAGGGTAGTTGTCCTATGGGGTAGTGGTTATCCGGGGGGGGGGGGGGGTTGATGTCCAGGGGGTAAGTGTCATAGACCGTCCCTAATGCATCCATTCTAATTCAATATGAAAAAAATTAGAATACTGGGAAAAATCTACCAACAACTAATTGCCTGTAATTTATGAACATTTTATCACAGGATGGGCTTGATTTTGAACTTGCGGTATGAGAAGATGAACCAGGTCGTTCTCAAAGCGGGACTACAGTCGGCCGTGGGGCAGTGGAATGATGTTGGGCTAGTCGAGTATGCAGTGGCTGAGAGCACACTTATTCCGAAGTCGTCCCCAGGTCTTAACCTAGCTTTTACAAATTCTTTGAACTTCATCTGTTTATGCACTACATACGTTTCCTATCAAAATTATATTTATTCGTCTCTTATCCATGGTGCACGTATACATGCATTGTTTGTCAGAAAATAGTGTTTGTCTTTTTCCTAATCTCTAATCTTGTTTAATATGGCTAAACAATGCCATCAAAATGTTTCATCATCCCTAATGTCATAAAACGAGATACTCATACTTTATAAGTATCAAAGGGTACGTTTAAAGCCGGGTTAGGGGTGTAATGTCACATCAGGAAGGTGAGACCCTGGTCACATTGAGCACTGTACATTATCCGCATAAATCACTTCTGAAAGGCCCCCTGGACCAAGATCGAAGTCCATTGGTCATAATGGTGGAATAATTATTTTTACCCCAAGTTATGGAATGATTTTGACAATGATTTATTCCTAATAGACCTAAATAATAGTATACGTCCTCAGATTGTATTAAATATTAATTTGCCAGTGTTTGTTTTGCGTGACTGCTAAAGCATTGGTATGCTACTATGCTAATCAACTAGTTGGATAGTAGGGCGATCATATAGTGTGCGCTGGGAATTATACAACGAAACCCATCTACCATATCCTATGTTTAGACCTCTATATCTGGCATGGTATTTTACACTCTATTTGAGGATTGCGTCTTAGACTTTTTTTTGGCCCCAAAGGAAAAAATTAAAGAAATAAACCCTGATTTGGAACATATGACAGAATGATGTTTATTTTAAAATCCTATCGGACACTCTGCTTCCTACCGGGTCTATCAAATTTCCTACGTATAATCTCCGCGTATATTCGTATGGTCAGCGAATTCTCCAGATTTTACCGTTTTTTATACATTTATTATTATCCTTTCGATGGTACGTTCCTTTTAAATCTCATTCGACTTCGATATTCAATCTATCTTTGTTTAGCATTCGAAGAGACTGAAGACATGCCGTATTATGTGATCTTCTTGGAGCTACACCAGGCAGGAAACACGGGCGAAAATAAAGAGACGAAGGAGCCGGTAGAGCTTGCATCCAATGAGATTATGAGTTCGGTAAGTCGTACCAATGAGTTGGTCTTACTTAGCATACCTGTTAGTTAGCTTTACCCAGTGTAGCCGTATAAAAATAGTACTACTATTCCTGCTTGCACTGCAACTACCATTATGCCCATCAGGCTATAACAAAAAAGATGTTGTATTGCCCTTTAGGTGCCAAAACATGGGTCGGTCGGTCGAAATACTTTAATACATTTTTTTCCCTAAAAAACGGTAACATAAAAAAAAAATATTTTAAAAAGCCGACCGTAGATTTCAAGATTTTTGGGTCAGTCGCAAAGGGCAATACAACATCTTTTGTTTTGTTAGGCCTCGTTGCCAGGTAGCTGGATGCAGTGGGTGAAATTATACCTTGTCCAATGATAAGTGAACCCGGGACCTCTCGTATTAAGTGCCTAATAATTCAATCTCCAAAGTGGCTTAAAGACATCATCTAGTACTTAGTAATCGGTAGGAGTCTATAGAGTTGGTCAAATGGGGGAGGGATGGGGCGGCAGAGAGATCTATTTCTGTGAATCTTTCATTATTTTATATCGGCCATACCTAAGTTCGGTAAAATCATTATTATTTGCATGTAAATACACATTTGCATTCAGCGTTTACATGGTATATCTGAAAAATTGTTAATATGATGGATCATGCATTGTTAGTTTTTGTGATTACATGTATATGTAGGATTATACCATGTCTCGGTGCTGAGTTGGCTGCTCCCAATTCTCCCGGCGTTTTTTATCTGACCGTTAGGCCGTAGAGAGCCCGTAAAGAGCCCGTGAGGCCCCGCCCCCCCCCCCCCACTCAGAGAAGGGAATGACCGCATGCGTGTTACCAAAATGTCCGGTAAAGGGGTACTTTTCGTGCGACAGAGTCCGGCCCGAGAAATGTAAAAAAAAAAGGGGGTGTATTTGAATTTTTACCAGGAGATTGCTTTAAAAAGGGGTGTTTTTCCTTTTTCTCTCATCTCCTTGGACTCCTGAGAAATTAGTAGTCAGGCTCGAGACGGTGACCATTATTACTGCTAATTCTCAATGTACACCGTAGATTTGAATACAGAGGCGCGGATATCAGAGGACACATAGTTCAGTGCGCCGCACGGCAGACCGTGGTGCACCGTATGCGCACCTTGGCAACCCCGGCCGAGCCCCGGGAGCTATGGGGTGCACATGTTCATCGGACGGAGTCCTTACGCTTACCGGACGGCACCCGACCGGCACCGTTACATGCGCCTTGCATTTTCACTCGACCAAATTGTCACCGGGCGCCTCCCGGGCGCCGCAGAATATATGAGCACACATGCCGTAGAAATGAAAATCGGAAGAGTCCCGTACGATCTCTGAAATCCACGGCAAGCTGCCAGATAGGGAAAATCGTACGGGGCCCGGTGTATATGTGACATAGGCATAAGCCGTGTTCTGTACATTTGGAACCTGTTGAAGGAGGTGTTTTTTTTACCGACATCATTCTCTTCCATTGTTGTAAAATATTTTCAATTGCGCGCCATTTATATTTATTTTAATTTTAAGAGCGATTTCCAGTTTCCGCACGTCATTAGGGACTTTTAGATTTGAGTGGACTGAAACGTGTGACGTCCATTCAAGGCAGTGCATTAAAAGGACGTCGATCGTAGCATAGACCTATTGTCTTCGTGCGTATCTAAAAGTCCCTATTGAGGCATAGTGCGCAGTGAGCAGCGGATGGCAGTATTCGTAAATCTGAAAACAGAGACATCTATTAACACAGAGTTTGGCCAACTTGGTTTTACTGTATGGTCTCAAAATATGGGCCCAAATTCACAAAGGAGGTTTGACGACAAACCTCCTTTTGTTTCGACAAACCTTCTTTTGTAAAAACGCGTCGAAACGCGTCGTATGACGCACATACAGGCGCGTACACAGGGGGGGGGGGGGGGGGGGGGGGGGGGGGGGGGGGGGGGGGGGGGGGGTTGGGGGTTAACCCCCCCTCTGGTATTTTTATGTGTGTAAACCCCTCCATAACCCCTAAAAACCCCACCCCCCCCCCCTTTGGATTTTTTTTTTTTAATTATAAAAAGACATTACCCCCCCCCCCCCAACGGAGCCAAATGTCAAATTTTCAATTTTCGAGACCAAAAAAAAAAAAAAAGTGTCCTCTTATCCCCCCTCTCCCCCCCCCCCCCCTCCCCCACCCCCCCCCCCCGCCGTTTCCTAAAATGTTCCCTAAAGCCGAAAGTCCAAAAACTGAGATTATATTGATTCAGGATATTTAGGATTGTTTTCTTTTGTCATTTTCTTTCTATTACAATGGGTAGATCGACGCAGAGCTTCGTGGTCGTAACAGCGACTACGAGAGACTGCGGAGAGAGGGCGCCATTTCACACCCTCGTGTTCACATCCTGAAACCCGGCACGTTTGAAGATTTGAAACAGTATGTGTTGAATACGACCAACACCACGGCAAACCAGTATAAAGTACCTCAGAGGCTCCGCACAGTAGATACCCTTAACTTCATGTTTGATCATGAGGTGTAGACACTCTCTGCCCTGCAGTGGCGGATCCAGGGGGGGGGGGGGGGGGGGCGGCCCCCCCCCCCCTTGAGAAAAAAATCATGTAAAATCACGCGATTTTTACCTTTTTGGGGGTTGGGCCCCCCCCCCCTGGCGCTCAAGGGGGGGGGTGCAAATTTTAAAATTTTCGAGGACCAAAAAAAAAAAAAAATGTGCTCACTACCCCCCCCCCCCCCCCCCCCCACTGAGCGACTTTTCGGCTGGTTGAGTCGTTGCGATTTTTTTTTGGGACTCCAAAAAACAAAAAAAGTATCCGCTTACCCCCCCCCCCCCCCCCCCCCCCCCACTGAGCGACTTTTCGGCCGGCGCGATTTTCAAATTTTCGGGAGCAAAAAAAAAAAAGGTGGTGGGCCCCCTCCCCTAAGAAATCCTGGATCCGCGCCTGCTGCCCTGACTTCTTCTTGGAGGTCCTCTGCCATCTACTCTGTACAGAAAACTGCATGAATTTTCATTTACTTCGCAAGATGTTGTGTACTTAGCACTTCATGAGTGTCAGGGTAATGCAACATGAATCATTCAAAAATAAATTTAGGATCAGGTGACGCGAAAAAATTCTTTCTTAAAAGGTTGCCCTGACTAAAAAAAGAGTTCAAAAAGCTGCTCTTGGGCATCGTTTAAAAGGAACACAATTTTCTTTCAACCACATTTAATCTTCTATCTAAGGCAGTCTTCAGGTTTTGAAGTAAGGCATTAGCATAGTAGGTCTATCGATATTGATAAATATTGATGAAAATCGAGTAAGTTCTGGTTTATCTGACTCCCATGCATTGCACGTTGTGTCATGTGTGTAATTACGAGGTGTGAATTTGATTTCTAGGACTACTTTAGTTTGCTTATATTTGTCTGTTTTTTCAAGGCGAAAATGGAAGTACATAATCGTTCCTACCCTCTTGAACTATCTTCCTCTGCTAATCCGCCAAGCTCCAACACATTAAGAGCTTCCCTAAAATCTACCGTCTTCGTAGTTTCGTATTTTCGTAATTAAGTTTTTATCTTTGTAGTTAACTGTTGTGCCTTTTACGTATTGAATCTTACTTTGATATATATAAATCATTTTAGCGGTCTTTATATGTTGACATTATTATGTTATTAACTTGTACTATCACAATTGCTCATGTTCTCACAATGATCATATTTAGGGGTTTTTCTAACTTCAACGTTTGATTGGTTTCATATCGTAATAAATTACTTTCCCTCTCTCTCTTTCTTTTATATAGAATTTAAAGAGAAGAAGGAGTTATGGGGAAGATCAAATAGATGTCTATGAGCATTCTTCTCATTAATGGTCTCAAATTAAAGTGTTCCCAAGCTAAAAAGTGTTATGTATTATGTGTGATTCAGAATTGTCTAGATTAAGAATAATTAGCGCATTAAAAGCGTATAATTGTATTATGTTTTTGCTGTGGGCTATTTGTTTTCTTAGGAATTTAGAGAGGCTCTTTACTTTATTACGTGCTTCGCAAAGTCATATTTACTTTTTATATTATTATTATTATTATTACCATAATAATTGGGCCTATCATTGATATTTTAAGTTTTATCATTATTTTTTATTATCTTTTTAATGGATTTTTGGGGATTATTATTATAGTTTTGTATTAATATTTTGTATTTTTCTTCTTGTTCTTGTTCGTCTTCTTCTCCTTTACCTCTCCTTTCCCCTCTTCTCCTCCTTCTTCTTATCCTCCTCTTGCTTCTTCCCCTCCTCCTTCTTCTTCTTTATTTATGTTATCATAACATTTATTTTTCTTGTTGATACTCTTTTGATGATAATGAGGATGGAGATGATAATGACAAAGTTAAAAACACTTGAGCCAATTGCTTTCGATTTGGAATCTTTCTTTTTTTCCTTATCACCCAAACTGAAGATCTTGTGTGGTAACATTCGAACCCGTCAATCTCCTGCTCGAACAATACATGTACTTGTCGATTCGCAGGGAGCCAGCCTCTCCCCGACCAGAAAGAAAAATCTCAGGTGACTTCATAAAATCACTCGTGGACTGAAGCACAAAAAACATAGAAAAAATATTGTTGTTCTTATTACTGTTATTATCATTAATGTTATATCGTGAATCATCAATATTATTATCATCATTATTATTTCTACTACGACTATTACTACTACTGCTAATACTGTTTTCGATGTTGTTGTTATTGTTATGATATTTATAATGGTGGAATGATGATGATGATGACGAAGATGATGATGATGATGATGATGATGATGATGATAATGATGATGGTGATGATGAAGATGATGAAGATGAGGATGACAATGATGATGATGATGACAAAAGTCAAAATTACTTGTCTGAGCCAATTTCCTTCGAAAGAGAGGATCCTTTGAGAGATTCAAACCCGTCAATCTCCAACGCGAACAATACTTCTCGATTCGTGGGGAGCCTCTCCAAAACCAAAATCACCAATCTCAAGCAACACCTGAGAATATCTCGAAATAGTTTTTCCTTTGCACTTGTGCAGTAGAATTTCTTAGAAAAAATTGAGTGCTGATCGAGGTGCTGTGCCAACTTCCCCAAAATGTGAAAGCGATCTCTTTCAAAATATTGCGGCTGACATAAAATTATGATAGGAGGGGTTTGTGATGAAAACAGAGCGAAAGAGAGAGACAGAGACAGAGAGAGAGAGAGAGACAGAGACAGAGATAGATAGAGGGAGAGAGAGTGAGAGAGGGGCGAGACAAGAGAAGGAAGAGAGAGGGAGAGAAAGAGAGGGTGGGTGGGGGAGAGAGATTGATGAAGAGAGACCAACAGAGATACAGAGAGACAATAAGATATATATATATATATATATAACATTAGAGAGAGAGAGATAGAGAGAGAGAGAGAGAGAGAGAGAAAGAGAGGGGGAGAGAGAAAGTGAGAAATGCGGAGAAGAAAAAGAGAGAGAAAGAGATACCCTACTCCCATCATGACACCTGGATGCCACCTACAGTACCTCTCAAGACTGAAAGGTTCTTAGCATGGACCTACTACCATGATTAAAGTCATCTTCTCCTCATACCCTGCTGTGTTGAAGAGGGATCATGCATTCCATCGTATTGGGGCATAACAGTGCTAAACCAACTAATCCCCAGGGGTAAGAGCTATTACCCCTGTCAATCATTTTGGGCGTACCTGGGGTGAGCCGATACCTCTCTATAACGTGCCAGGAAAACGTCAAACCGATCAATCCTTAATTACCTGGAATTCGGACGCTTGCTAAAGTGACCGCTACGTAATTATGAACTAAGATTAAGTGTAATCAACCACTAAATTAAGTATGGGAGCCTGCCCAGGAATAATTACTACGATAGGCCTATAATACTTAAACTAGTCTTACACTTAATTAAACTAAAATAGTTGCAAGCCCAACTGAAGCCGTCGGGTTGAGTGCCCAAAGGATCCGAAACAAATAACAAGTCAGGTCAATTTTACCCGTTAACTCATGCAACAAAATGTGCCGAAATAATAATATGTAGTAAATAAAATTACTAAAAGAAAACCCCCTAGGGATGGAGTTGTGAAATGCCCAAAATGGGGGTTAAATGCCCCATCAAAGCTCATGGGCTCAAGAAGAGTACACTGTCCATCAGAAGAAAAGAAAAACAAACACCAAAATCTTACGTAGGGGGTGTCGGAATTACAGTGGAAAAAGTGCCCTTTGAAGAAAGAAAAAAAGTTGCCACAAAATGCTCTCGTATAGAAAAGGCATTTGTTATCTTCTAACTTTGATTACCCAAAGTGTTTGGTGTAATCTTGAGTTTTGTATTAAATTAATGGGGCAATTCAGGGTTAAGTGATAAGTTAATGTGAAAAGTGTTCAGGGCTATACCTAAGACCGTTACTTGTTTCAAAACGTACACATAACGTTAAGGGGCTTGCTATGTTCTGTGCGATGCTGATATTTACTATCTATATATGATAAACAAGATCGAGTGATGGGGGCTAGAGAGAGAGTGAGGGATAGAGAGACTAGGAGAGAAACAGTTATATATATATATATATAGAGAGAGAGAGAGAGAGAGAGAGAGAGAGAAAGAGAGAGAATGAGGTAAAGAGGTTAAAACTGGGCATATTTTGAAGAGTTTGTGAAAGAAAGAGAAATTAGAAAAGTAGCGTTATGGGGATGAGAAAGAGAGGAAAAGAAAAAACAACGAGAGAGAGAGAGAGAGAGAGAGAGAGAGAGAGAGAGAAGGAGAGAGAGAGAGAGAGACAGATAGGGGTAGGGGGTGAAATACATTTCTAGTTAATACTTGATCAGATTAGTGCAAATACAGTTTCACCCGCACTATACCGGCATTTCATTAAAACGCTGTAATAGGTATTTAGCATGTGACGGATGAGAGTAAACTTAATCTACTTTCGCCAGAAAACACAATCCTAATACACGTCAATTAAACAGATCATTCTAGGGGGCTATATACAGTATGCAAAGACGTCCAATAAAAAGTCTAGATGACAGAAACCCCACACGAATGGCACGCCCCTTCAATACAACACACGTACACAATCAACACTAACTAACGCCAATCACTATGAATGACAGCTGTCCAGTCATTCAACCCAGCCCCAACAATAGCCATTCCCGTATTGTTCCCCGTGTCACTCAGTTAGAGAACAATACAGATGTTTTTCGCACCTTTTATAAAAGAAACAAGGAAGGCACTCAAAACATGATTTAGTGTAGTTGTCGTTTTGTGTTGTGATTCGAGAACCATTGAACCACGGACGAGTGAAGGATAGACTATCCCCTCGAACACCCGGGAATCGTTAGTTTAGCTTTAACTCTTGAACAACATACTTCTCACTTCACGTCAGCTAGAAACTTCAGAACGACCCTCGAAAGTTACCCTTGGCTGTTTTTGGACTTTTACGATCAGAAGCTCGTAAGGAGAAGGTCATCCCGTGAAGTTTACGGCCATAACTTGGACGAAACCAGCATAGGCTCTCTGGAATGTCGTATTTGACCCGATGAGGAGTTGCCATAGTTATTTGTAAACCGTCTGCATCTTACTTTTTAAAAATCATAAATCAAACGATCTTCCAAAATATTTGTTGGAAGCCGCAGAGAAGTTGGACATTACAGTTTAAGTAAGCACAAAGAAGCCAGAAGACAAGCATATTGAATGAGTGCATTGGTGAATAAAGTTTGTTAATTCTTCTAAAGGAACATCATCTCTATCAGTTCTTATTCATCATCCGACGTACCTCGGATAACTTTACAAGAACTCCTTTTAGGAGTTGTGTATATCACGTGTTACACCGAAGCGATTCGACGTCACTCCTCCGAGATGGTTCGGATTATGGACACCGTCATTCTTTGCGTCTTCGTACTCCTGGCCGTGGTCATCGATGAAGCCAACGCCTACATGTGGAACTGGATGTGGAGTGGAACTCATCCACAAGGTCGGGCTCCTCCTGAAATGGTCAACGACGGACCGGTCGATAATGGCGATCTGGAAAGAGATCATCCCAGAAACATCCAAGCAAGACTTCTTCTTAATGAAACAGAGGCTCGGTACTACCAGGTAAGCTAAATTAGTTTTTTGTTTACTCATTCTATTTACCTTATGAGAGTTTTAGGTCAATACTTGCTACAATACAATGAATTGTCGTTTTTGTAATCATCACCTTACCAATGGTTGCGTGTTCAAAGAATCTTGATCATTCGGTGCATATCTCAAAATAAACACAGATCCTTGTTGAGTTTTCAAAAGATAAATGTCTGTTGGCATACAGTATACGGTACAATATTTTAATAAAGCTCACGTCTAAGTTCTTACTAACTTCCAATTTCCATGTGAGAGTTCGTGTATCATAATGCATTCATGGCAAAATAAAAGTATTTTGTTTTTTTTGCGTTGAGTTGTGTTTCTGTAATTGAAAACAAAAATGAAATTTGAAATTAATAAAAGCATACAAGTTTCTATGTACATGCACCTCAACTCAACATTGAGAGAGAATCCGACATCACGTTCTATTATCGAAGGAAGCCATTCAACGCTCCGATATCTGTCAATTAATCGGGGTCGCAATTAAAGCCTATTGTTCGCGTTCACACTTTCTACGTTGGGCTATTGCTCGAGTACAATAGGTCCAGGGCCCAGAGTGATTAGATAATGTTACAGTCACAATTGTGGAGGCAGGTCCTAGACTCCCATGATTTCAATGGGTCACAGACTGGATCGATTTCTGATGAACCTTAATCCTGGAAACGGGCAGTCATTATGTATGCCCATCAGGATTCAGAAACCCGTCTCTTTTATTCGAGACTTTTACTTGTATTATTCTAGTGGCGTGTGTTTCAAAAATAGAACAGACCAGACGACGCGATTTAGAATAAAGATTCGAAAAATGAATCAATATACTGGATCCACTGTCGCGCCTAATGATCACATGCATGTCTTACCAGTCATATTGATACAATAAGCAATTAAAGAACGATCCTAACCATTCATATTTACTTTTGGTAAAAGCATTTGGAACTAACAACTGTTCATCCGTTAAATTTTCTCCTCCACCATTGACAAGCATTAAGTGAAACAAAAATGTTGTTATCATTGTTGGAAATATACTGAATTCTTTATAATTGTAGTTTAAAGCAAATGTATAGACACAATAAATCAATTATCAATATATATATATATTCATTATAATTTGAAAATTATATTTGTGTATTCTTCTTTTACCATTAGGATCTCCCTTGTGACAGCGATAAGATGTGCGGCCGTGGTCGTTTCTGCGACCTCCACTACGGTGGATGTCATCGACATCGACAACCAGGACACCAGTGCAGACGAGACGGACATTGCCAGAAAGGACATGACTGCATGTTCGGAACCTGTCGCGCCACCATCCCAGAAAGAACACTAGGTAAGCATCTCCCTCTTTTATGCCAGACTTGATCATATTAAAGACTAAAGATGCGGAAAACATACTTTAGATACTTTTAGTCCCTGTGTTCCATAAGAGTCTCTAGAGGAGTGTCACAATAATATTTACCATACATTTTTGGGTGAGAGTTTGGTGATAATATTAACGCATGTGGATTCCCTTTTTGCCCAACTTTGTATAATGGCGATTAATAAAAGGTACCATCTCTTCCTCTATGTCAGTCCTCCATCCCATCCCTAACTCTTTCTTTCTCTCTCTCTCTATCTCTCGCTCTCTCTCTCTCTCTCTCTTTCTCTCTCTCTCTCTATATATATATATATATATCTTTCTCTCTCTCTATCTCTCTCTTTCTCTCTCTCTCTCTCTCTTTCTTTCTGTCTATCTCAATCTGTCTCTGACTTTAAGAATTTCTTTTTAAAGGGTGTAATGTAACAAATAAATAAAGGATACTTCATGATGCTCGTATAATGAAATTAGTTCGTTCAATTCCAGTTTGACATATACATGTATACCCCGATGACTTTGCGAGAAATAGCTATTTGCTCAAAACCTGCAGGCGTTTGGCTAGAGTATTAGTTATTGTAGTGTCAATATTTGCCGACAAAATGTCACGTTTTAGTACAAACCTCACACCCATAAAGGGTACAGTGCAATTGACAGGTATTATCTACGAGTGGATTCGACTCCTTTAAAGAGCAGACTAAAGTGATTGACATCAATATGATTTAATGGTAGGGCGTATATTTAATGTAAACTTGAAATAGTTGGTATTTTACCAAATGGTCTAACACTACGAAAGTTCCAAATGACGTCGGGACTGTAGAACAGATTAGTCTTTACCTAGCCTTTTTACATAGAATGGTAAACAATAACCAAAGTGAGACGAAATTATTTGAAATGAAGGTAGAATCATTACGTTGTAGGGGATTTAAAACAGAGCTAAATACAAATGCCTATGTATCGAGAAACCTAAAGAAGGTGAACTATTATGTTTTGATGAAGTAACTGGAACTCACACTTACAATTGGGTAGAGACAAGACAAATTCTCATTCAATACGAACAAGTGGTTTTGACGTGGAACACCTGGGGAGATCGTAGACAGGTCTCTTGATCTGGTTCGAGTGACCCAATGATTGACAGCTTTTTACCAATAAACGTTTACACAAAAGGGGATCCCAACGCACGGGCGTAATTCTTGTTTATTACGGGTGGTAGGGTGCCATCATTTAAGGCTATTCTAAAGCTTGTCATACCCATCGCTGTGATAAAGCCCTTGCCTTTTCCATTCGAATGAGAATATACACATTTATGCCCGTACCTATATCGTAGTTTACAACAGAAATAGAAATTATCCTATCGAAACAGAACACTTTGTTACATCTACTTTTACTTATTCCGTTCTATCTATAATGAGAGTTAACATTTTCTGAGTTAATTATGCATTATAGCATTTTATATAATGTGTTGCCACTCAGGAAATATTTGCCAATATGAAACGATTTCTAATGATTGGACTCTTCATTCGATTTCATTTCTGACTAGTCAGTTGCAGAACTAACTTTTCAGACTCTTCCATTCTTCTTTTAGGGGCGCGATGCAGGAACAACAAGGATTGTAGCCACAACATGTGCTGTGCTAAGCAGCACGGCGAGTCGGTGTGCAAGCAGAAACTCCCCCTTCAGGCAAAATGTTTCATCCCACCGGGAGGAATAGAATACGTCATCGATACAATGTGTCCGTGTGAGGAAGGACTCGTGTGCAGCGAAACGGTTGTCATGGAAAAAAGAGAGTGAGTACTTTTCTATTATTTTCTCCTCATTGCACTGACTTTTGATGATTTGTGAAAAATATAAGTTTATACAAAAACAATATGATTTTTTTCTTCAATAAGGAGTTTAAAGTTTGTCATCAAACACGCAATATGCCTACTATAAACTTCCCCTTCAGCATGTTTGGCTGCTGTTCGGAAAGCATCGATTTGAAATTTGCAAAGAAGTTCTCGACCAAATGTAATACATGGACATTCTGATTTTAAATTCATCGATCGAATTGAGATTGTCCCTTAGCAGAATTTCAAGAAGAAACATTAGATTGTTAAGTGTAGGCTATTTGTTATTTATCAGGTCAACAAGCAGTTTTATCATTTTTTCCTTTTCCTTGTTCTTTATTATCTGCAGACAAGAATTTGTACTTCGCTTTTGGACGGACGAAGGACACATGCGATGCCAAGCCCGGTGAGAATTATTAGACTTAACACAAACCTGTGCTATACATTCTTGCTCAAGATGTACCGTGTGCTGCTCGTCGTGCTCCCGATGGCTTCCGATTACTCTCGACGGATGCCGATGGCTCCCGATGACATCTGATAGCTCCTGAAAGCTCGTCATAACGCGTTCGGAGTGTTCGCCGAAAACAAGACGCAGTGCGTCAAGACCTCGTCGTGTCTCGGTCAGCCGAAGCAACAATTAGAAAACGCCATCTGTCGACGAGATCCAGCATAGTTATTCTCCAATTCTTAATGTGATTAAGATGTCTATATATACATATATTTTTGTTGATGTATTGTATAAACCTTCGATCTCTATTTCAAATAGAATCGTTGATATAATTATATTCTGTAACACAAAATTACTGCATTTGATAGTTTAAGAGGTATTTTTGTAGATGTTGCTCCTATTCAAGAACATCTTCAAGCAATACCGTTTTGGACTCATGGTCACATATTTTCAATACATTTGTAAAGATATTTGACATGATAACTGTGTAGTAGGAAGTTATGTGAACTTTTCCCATACATTTGATGACTGTGATCCATGTTGGGCCATATATTTCTTCAGTTACCAATACTTCTGAGAGACAAATTACTATTCAAACTTTCAGGCACGATTCGAATGAATTCTAAAAAAAAAATTTCAAAGCTGGATGATCTCGTGATAATCGTCAAGTCTGGTAGTGGCAAAATATTCTTGGCGGTGGTGAAGCATTATCCATGCGTTTAGGGGGCACTATCATCATAACAGAGGGGGGGGGGGTACCGAGCTAATTACTAGGTGGATAAAGTAAAATCTACGTCAGGAGGTCACCGAATAGAAGACGGTGGTAGGGGTCGTATCGTCCTCTTTTCACGCTCATCTCCCTCCCTCTCTTTCTCTCTGTCCCCTCTCTCCATCTTTATCTCTCTCTCTCTCTCTCTCTGTTCGTTTCATCCTTATTGTTTTTGCTATATAGGGGAAGAGGGCATACCCCCTGCCCTCGCCATTAATTTTGGGTACCACATATTTGACAAAGGTTACATTCGAATTTTATTGACCCGTTCCAGCAAACAGTCATGTATTTCTCTATATTCAATGTTCTTTAAGCTTTGGTATGTACTAAAGTTTCAGATCTATCCTGAGGAACTGCTCATAAATCATGGGAAAATGAAAGCATTAAACGAGCTTCTTCAAAGCCGTCTCATTGAGTGTAATATATCATATGACTGTGATGACTAATATATTTTTTGATCATGCTGTCAACAAATATGATGGAATGATATATGGAGTGTTATACAGGGTGTATCATAATAAAGGATATTGAAGTTTAATGACGATTTATATGAAAACTACTGATTTCATAATCAAGCACTTATGTCTGTTGTAAAGGACAGAATGTCCTCTTTTTAATGACACCCCAATCATACTTCTACTGTCACAGTTGACTGAATAACAAAGCATTGCTGTCCACCATGTCAAAGGTGCACTGTGACAAGTTAGCATTCAAAGATTAGTGCTTGTGTCAGCCCAGACATATTGAAATGCTGAACAATGAGTGGATTATGTGTCTAAGAAGGAAATGTTATCAAACTTGGCACAGTGCACCTTTGACATGGTGGACAGCAATGCTTTGTTATTCAGTCAACTGTGACAGTAGAAGTATGATTGGGGTGTCATTAAAAAGAGGACATTCTGTCCTTTACAACAGACATAAGTGCTTGATTATGAAATCAGTAGTTTTCATATAAATCGTCATTAAACTTCAATATCCTTTATTATGATACACCCTGTATATTGTGATGTAATAAAACAAATATGTAAATTAATACATTTGGGCTGTATTGACTCATTGACTAACAGTGAAGAGGAGAAGAAGATATATTTACACGCAAAGGAAGCACATTCTAGAAAGTGAAAGATAGGGAAATTTATTATTCCAATTTTTTTAAAAATTCATTATAAAGATAGTTTTAAAAAGACCAGGATTCAATATCTGATTTTAACTATGTGTTATACCCAAGACTGTTATTTTATTTTAAAAACATGGCATCCCATCTCTTAAACACTTTAGACACAGCAACGATAAAGGCAGAAAGAGACGTGTTTTAGGGCAAGAGAGTATGAGCGAAGAGAAAGAGAGAGAGAGAGAGAGAGAGAGAGAGAGAGAGAGAGAGAGAGAGAGAAGAGAGAGAGAGAGAGAGAGAGAGAGAGAGAGGAGAAATATTGAGAATTAGGAGAATGAGTTGTTTGGAGCTTCAGTTTCTTGGGCGAGAACGTGTGAATGTAGAATAACGGATTCACGAAAACATCCCACCCTCTTCATTTCTCTTTTCATCGTCACTCACCTTTTCTCTTTCCACCATACTTCTCTCTCACTTTCTATATCTTTCCCCTAACTTTCTTTCTGACTCTTTGCTCTTCTCTCTCTCTCTCTCTCTCTCTCTCTCTCTCTCTCTCTCTCACACACACACACCAGTTTAAAAAAAAAAAAATTAAAAGATTTTCTTTCAAATCAAATACATAATATTGTCAAATCATTCTTAACAAAACTGAATACATTGTACAAAATTGATATTTACGATTAAACATTATATTGCAATAATAAAAAGAAAACAAAAGTACATTTTCATATATAATGATCAAGAATGTTTAAGTAAACTTGAGATATTTGTTTGGTCTATTCTCCCATTCCCCCCCCCCCGCACACACACACACACACACACACACACACACACACAAACTATTTCTCTTTCTCTCTTTATCGCTCCCTCCTCTCTCTCTCTCTCTCTCTCTCTCTCTATCTCTCTCTCTCTATCTCACTTTCTCTCTCTCTCTCTCACTTATAGTTTCTCTCTCTCACTTCTCTCTTCTATATCTCTCTTTTCTCTTCTCTCGTCTCTCTTCTCTCTCCCTACTCTCCGTGTAATTCCATTTTCTTTAAGAAAAATAAAGAATATAACATTTATATATGACAAATAAAAAATACTAGAGCATGAAATAGATTCCATCATTTATTACTAGGACTACATACATTTGATAAAAGTATATGGAATATACATGAATTTTACGTTATTAGAAGCAGCGAATTTTAGGGGAAAAAAGCTTACAGGAGAGTAATATAGAATAAGATTAAAAATATAAATAAAGATTGAGAGAGAGAGAGAGAGAGGGAGAGAGAGAGAAGAGGATGGGTTACCGTGTCAGAAGAGGAATGAATAAGTGGCTGACAAAAATAGGGACAGAAAGAGAGTGTGAGAGAGACCTAGCGAGACAGTAATAGAAGTAGACAGAGATTGATGATGTATAATGTATGAACGAGAAGAGAATAGAAAACGATCGTGTGAGTGAGTGTTATATTTAGAAATAGTTGGCGAGCCAACATCTAGACTCCGCCGTCATATACCTCTCTGTAATGCGTGAGCCCGTCTTATAGCGGTCATGATCCCTTGCATTCCAGGTCGACGTAAAGCCCCCCCCCCCCCCCCTCCCCCAACCCGGACAGAAACGGGGCCGATGATGAAGTCCTATCCCTAACTCGAAATGAAATCAATCTCATCATCTCAGTACCTCAAAGCTGATGCAGACGTGTACTTGGGTATGGTATATTGCTTTTTACTGCACACCCATTCCAGTGATCTTCTCCCTGAACGGTACCATTGTCTATTATTGTGTGATCAGTATTGCCAAAAAGCCTTTTAGCTGAATACGCCGAAGACATTTTTGTTCAAGTTGTAGCTGTTTTAAGGTAAGCACGACATCAAATAACTTTTTTTTTAATTACTTTTTGTTCTTTTGAATAGAGAGAATCACTTTTTCTGTGTAGGGAGATAGTTGATGGAACAAGCATGGATGTATTTAGGTCATTCTGAGTCTGTATTTGATATGGATATAGTTTTGGTAATCATTGATTTAAAAAAAATAATCTGCATTACTTTGACACTTTGAAGCAGTTTTTTCTAAATAGGATTGTGATTTTATGGAGCAACTTACAACTGTTTTAGCCTAATGAAATCGGAATCACTTACTATTACGAGTACAGGTAAAATCATTTGTGTTCCAGACATGTTTAATGGTCTTACCTTATGATGGGATGTTATACATTTTAAAAACTTTATACTTCAATGATATAGATAACGATAAGATAGATACAGGGTAAGTCCTAACTGATAATTAAGTTACCGATGCGAATTACAGCTCGTGCAAGCTTTCAAACAAAATTAATCACTGAATTTAAACTCATAAAACAAAATTGAATAATGATTAAGCTTGTTTGCACGCACAGAATATTCAATATTGCAAACGCATTATTACACCACTATTCAATGCGTTTCTCATTATTATGATATTCAATATATTTTCATTCCGATTTAATTCATTTATTGTTTGTCGACCCTAGCCTTATTAATGATTTGAAAGCTATGTTTTGGGAGCACTCGATTCTGATCTCTATTAAAGGTACTATGTCCCATTTGCAGGCCAAAAAAAATGAAAAGGTTAAATTCCAACGGCATTTGAAAAATAATACTAATTTAGAACTTCCCTAAAAAATGGGGGGCTTAAAAATGTCTTTAAGAAGGAACATAACGACTATTAGTTGTCGAATCGACTTAAGAGCTATAGAGCCAGTAAGTAAAAGTCTGATTTTCAGACCATTGTACCGAATGGTCGTACGTTTTATGCTGGGCGAAGATTCAATTAGTTTAATTTTGGCCATTAGAGAAGTGGGTTATTGATGTAGACAAATGCTTACATGTATGTACCCTTTACAGCTCATTTGATGAATACCAAAGAAGAAAAAAGCCTGTCAGTAACTCAATATTGTCTGATAGTGAAGTCTAGCAAGTAAACGGGTTTCCTTGCATAATTTGAATATTAGGATATTGCTAATGTTTAATTTTCACAGATAGGACATACATGACATATTCATAATTCCTGCAAAGCTCTACAGAATTTGTTGTTGGCCGCAAAAGGGACATAGTATCTTTAAAAGTTGCTATATTGATGCGGGAAAATTTGCAGCTTTTTCAAAAATTTGTGAATTTCACGAATTTAGGAAAATACGAAATATAACGACACGTGTATGAAAGTATAATGTCTATCAAAATCAGAATGCAATAAAAACAATTTACGATGTTAGTCTTAACATTGAAATACGATGACTTTAACGGTCAAAGTAAAAAAAAATACAAATGTAAATATTCAAGAGGGACATCAAAAGCTAGTGAACATGATTACACAGTCTCTTTCAAAATAATGTCAGTCAATGTCAGTTAATGTCAGCCTTGTGCGTATTACAATTGTCTTTCAGTTGACATCTTATAAGTGTAAGCGATCGTGTTATAAAGGTGGTCCATGGTGTCACATTGTAAAACATCTCCGGCTAAGTAATTGGCTAAGGGCGAATAATCTGCACAGATCTTTTCAAACTGATCATAGCTTTCATTTTAATGGAATATTTTTTCTTACTTCTTTTTGTTTAAATACTTGTGACGGTAATGTCAATTCTTGATAGAAAAAGTTGATATCTTCTCAGAATAGTATTGATAAATCTATAAGACCCTTTACATTGATCAGTAAATTCTGAGAAGAATGAAACGTTAATTAAAACTAAATCGTATGCTTATCATTTCACGAATGGAGGTAATAAAGAAATAATCATAATTTTATGGTCAACAGTGTATCAATATTTTGAAGAAGGTTTTGAATCTGCACTTTGCAGACTTGTTCAAACGTAAATGAAATTGATTCATGAAATGAAAAATTGAGAATGATCATGCATCATTTTTAGATGAAACCGTTTACACTCTATAAGATACACTGCTAATCCGAAACGTCCACAGTACGGTGTATCCTCAGGATCGACGCCCTATGTGATAATTAACACTTGATGATGACACATTTTTTTTTTTTAATTAGTTATCTATTCTTCACAAAAAAATAATTATAATAATAATGTTTTATATAGCAAGGTTACAAGATTACTTAACTATACTGAAACAAAAAGGGAAATACAAATGCATCGCACACAAGTTAGGGGGAAACACACATGTATTGAAGTATAGGGGAAAACTCAATTGAAATAAGGTGAAACATGGATGCATTGGAATATAAGGAAAAAGAATTGAAATAAAAGAGAAAACACTAATGTATTGATGTATATGAGAGGACTAAAGTGAATTTAAGAATACTTAAAACAACAGTTTATATAAGCCTTACATTACCCAATCATTATAGTAACGACATTTAAATGTCCATCATTACAATGCAATGCTTACATCAGGCAATGTAAGATGGTGTTTCATAGTCATCGACATTATCACATTGCACAGATGCCAGAGGGATGTACCGGTCGGGTTACCACTCTACACTGTATATTACTTTGCCGATTGACCTTAAGATGGGGTTGTCCAAATATCTGCAACTTGAAGACAGATGAGGGCGGTGTATATATGCATTTGTGGACAAGGGAGGGGGTGGGGTAACACTCCCAGGGACGCCGCAGGACCATTTTGAATAACGATGTCGGACCCACACTTGCTGAAATGTCAGGCGAAACTTTAAAATAAAGAAAATATGACAAATACTGATAATAATGATAAAGTAAATCGATTTTGGTTGATCTAATTGGAAATTATGCCATCTCTCCTTCTCTATCTCTCCCCTTTCCCTTTGGACCCTTACCAACTCTACCTATATTTCTCTCTTCTATCAGTCCTTCGAGCTTGAGCTCTCTTTTCCTTTCTCTTTCTGCTCATATTTCGATTGTGATGCTACTCCTATTCTACTTTCATATTCACATTTATATTCATACCTGAATTTATTCATGATGTGATTCAGAATTGTATTTAAAATTCTTGCTATGTATAAGTCATATATAACTGACTTGTCATGTTTTGTGCTGAAAGCCGGAGGACCGTACCTGCTCATAGACTTTTTTTTTTATATAGAGTCTTGACGCCCTTCTGGCTTTTAGCACACGACACAATGTTTTTGTCTTATGTTTTATATATTACATGTTACGCCAATAGAAAACAAATTTCTGTATTATATCATGGACAATAAAACCATTTTCTGGAATCTTGAATCTGACGACACGGTTCTCAATTCAGTTTTTATTTGACGGAACACCTTGAAAAGAAATGTCTTACTCCCACAACCCTTCTAGCGAAGTAGCGATGCCAATTAACATTCCAATTTATATAATTAGCAAGGTGTTAATTGGTTATACATTTAAATGTCACGTTTAATACTCTGTTTTGTTTCTGTTAGTTTTTGTTTGTTTGTTTTTTGGTTAGGGTGAAATCACACAAAAGCATTTCTTAAGCCAGAAATAAACACTTCAGGAGTGAATAGGAATTTACGAAGATGAATGAGAACAATTAATTATATGCCGAATCAAACAGATGATTTGTTGAACCTATCAAGTGATCTTCTGGAATGGCCGGGAAAAAGGGGGCCTTTTTTAGATGGGGAAAACGCAGCCCGCGTGTGCATGCTTTTTTGAACGGCCTATGGGATTTCCGCTGGGGTTGGCAAGAGAATAACCCTAGGACGTCTTGCCCCTCCATACCCCTAGAAAGATCCTACATGATTCCTAAAGTCATTTTCGGGAAAATCATTGTCTGGAACGATCCGGGCCCTCCACATTCCAGAAATTCGCGGATCTGCCCCTACGAATCAAGAAACATGTAGTACAATTCTTGTGGAAATAAAATTAATATGTGTTCCAATTCTTTTGTCTTCGTGTATTGCTCAGATCAGTCTACAATGGAGACAAGTGAGAAGAACAAAGAGATGAATCACGTAGGGCCTAAAGAGCCTGAGATGTAAGTATACTACAGTTACCCGGATGGGATTCTGTTGTAAGCGATGCCACCGATCTTTTGATTATTTTTTTGGCGGGGAGGGCGGTAAGACCAGAGAAACGCAATATCCCAGGGAACACATTAGGAAAAGATCAAACCAGGGACTTGGAAGATATCTACCCAAGCACTGCGACAAACTAATCATAATGATTACCCTATTCTCTTCCAGTTTATACATCAAACATCTTCATTTTTTTATTTTTGTATTATATACTTGTCTAAACATATCTTGTGGCAGGAAAATGGGGCTCTCAAATTTTGTGTCAGGGCATCTGTTTTTAAACTTATCTTCCATATGGCTTTCCTTCTTTATTATCTCTCTCTCTCTCTATCTCTCTCTCTCTCTCTCTCTCTTTCTTTCCCTGTATATATATATATATATATATATATATATATATATATATATATATATCCCCTTTTCCAATTTTATACGGGGGAAGTAACATTAAACCCTGTAGATGCCCCCATGCTAACCGAGTCTTCTGTCTTGACTATATCCAGTAACAAGATGGAGGAGAAACTGTCCGATGAAGAGCTCTTGGACCTTATTCCTACCTTAGAGAATGGGGATTTCTTTCCAATCGGTCTCAAGTTGGACTACGATAAGGATACCCTTAATCAAATCAGAGGTAAGCATAATCATGACTCCAATTGACATCAGCCCGTACTCAGCGAAAAGGGCCGGTACAAGTGATATTGAACATAATCATATTTCAAACAAAAAGCTGTGGGTTACTTTGAAGACAATGATCGCAACCCAATCAACATTGATAATGAAGAAGAAAAAGCTGAGAAAAAATGGTTTCCAAGTGAAGGAGATGACAGACGATAAATAATTTGGTAATTTTTTATTATTTATTCAAGTTTTGTTTAAAATAGAGGGTAGGTAAATTCAGTAAAAAACTGCTTTCCAAGTACGCCCTCTAGGACGATGTTGGTCTTATTAACCCACGTTAGCCACATCAGTATTAATACTGCTCTTCCAGCGGGCCTTACAACTACTGTTACCCCAGTAATTACCAGGTACACATTTGCACCTGGGTGAAAAGTGCCAAATAAATCTCTTGCCAAAAGACATTAGTGCCTGTCTGGGATTCGAACCACCAACCCTTGGATTGAGAGTCAAGTAAAAATGTAACTCTTTCCACTAAACCTCCACACCATCTCAGAATCATTTTAAAACCCATAACATAAAAAAATTATGTTTTTGTCACCATTGTTTGTTTGTTTGTTTGTTTATTTTATTTTAGCACGGCGGCATATTTCAGCCAATGGCTATTCTTCAGCATGGCCGTGCTTATAAAAAGCAATCATCATCATCATCATCATCATCATCATCATCATTATCGTCATCATAGTTTACATCTATCATTCATCGAGAAAGTACTGCAGCAATAAGTAATACCTCCCTTTTGTCATTATGTTTCCATATAAGGTGATCATCAAAATGATGTAAGCGCGGCTTTCAAGGCTCTCTTCCTAAGTTGGGAGAATTACGTCACACTCTCACCCAAAGCTGCCAGATTGATGCTAGCCGATGCGCTCAAGTTTGTAGAGAGGAAGGATCTTGCCGGCAGAGTGACAGGTAAGCCTTTCCAAGTTATCTTCTTGGGGGGGGGGGAGGATGGGCGGAAACCAGATGGCAGATAATTATGCGAGGGAACAAGGCCATAGAGTGAAAGAGTGCTGGAGGGGAGGAGAGGGCAGGGTCGTAACACGTTTTCTTGTCACGTTGTCAACCCCTTTCCCTTTCTTTTTGTCTCTTTCTCATTTTTTCCTGCAATTTAATTGGAAGGGGGCACGTGACACTCGTGCCAATACGTGTATAGCAATGCCACTGGCATTTGTATTTTTTTTCTGATTATAAACTGTATATTTAATATTTTCTAGTTTTGTCTCTGACCTCATTACCCGTACGTAGTATTCATGTTTTGACAAAGCTGTTTTCCTTCTACTATCCGACAACCAATCCTCCTTTTTAAAAATAATTTCCATGTTATTGTCGTACGCTCCTCAGTTACAGAGAAGATCCTATCCCGTTTTTTTATCAGTCTTTGAACAAGACATTTTATGTTTTATTCACGTACAGGACCTCGCCTCTTGATATCTTTTCCTTGATTTTATTCATCGGTTTCTCTGCCATAACCATACCCCGTAACCTATTTTTTCTCGTGGTACATGTTATCATAATATTTGCTAAAATATAATTTATATCACAATATATAAAATGCTGCTTATTCCAAATGACTGTGATAATGTTCTCTTGTTTTTTTTATTAAGGCGAACCGACAAACGGTGAAAAGGAACGTGTTGAATACATGTGCAAGAAACACAGCTTCAGAGAAGCCTCCTACTACTGCAAGCAGTGTAAAGAGAACATATGTGAGCGATGTCTGGAGGACGAACACCAAACCAACAACGTCATACCCGTCAATGACATGCACATCAAGATCAAACACGAGCTGAAGAGTTGCTTTGATCGCGTGAACCAAGCCAGGGATCGCCTGGAGAAGATAAGGGGCGATAGGAAAGGCGGCATGAGCGGTATGATTACCAAGACACAAGTCGGTATCCAGGTCATGCGTGAAGGCATCTACAAAGTGTTCTCCGAAGCGCACAACATGATGGCCCGGGAGAGGGATGCGCTGATCGAGAAGGCCAATGTTCTGGAGAGGTCGGCAAACCCGGAGGTGTATGGGTTCGCCTTGTCAAAGCTGAAGAAATGCGAGCTGGCCTTGATGGAGGTGAAGGAGAAAGCACAGTTTGTCAACGACGTGACGAAGTTCGAAGCTGCGTCGCAAAAGATTGATGTCATCCTGAATGCTTGCCTTGACAGGGGCCCGCTGATGAACCTGAACAAGCTGGATATGAAGATGGTGGCGTGTCCTTCTGTTTACCTAGGACACCTCGAGGAAGTCTCAGGGTGGGACTTTGTGGAGCAGTTTGATCTCCCCGACGACAAGAAGGAAGAGATGAACGTCTGTATCAAGTTGACGGACCGGAAGATCGTGGTCGGTTACAGGCTCGGTGGTGCGGATATCATAGATCTTGACACCAAGAAGACAAGCAGAATAGCCTATGATGTGAGAATCAGCAGTATGGCTCTGATGAGCTCTGGACACATCATTTTATGTACGACAGACAACAAGCTAGGCATGATAACACAAGCAGGACATAAAATGTCTTCGTTCTTCTTCACGCAAAAGACCAACAAACCATGCTGCGTGTGCGTCGATGACAAGGACACGATATACATGGGTTACTCCGAGTTCAGCAACATCGAGGTCTTTGAGACAACCGGAGGATTCTTGAGGAACATCGGCACCATCCTGCAGCCATGGTGCATGTCCATCATGAAGTCGGGCCACATCGCTGTCACCGAATGCACCGTAGGTCTTCGTGATGCTGTCGAGATCATGAGCCAGGAAGGTCGTCCGGTGGGGCACATCATCGGACGCTTGGGATGCTCCCCATTCTCCTGCATCGACGAGGCGGGGAACATCTTTGTAGCGATGGTAACCAACGATGGGCGGTGCACTCTCAGGAAGTATTCTCCGACTGGAGATCATCTGGAGACAGTTGTGGAGGAGCTTCAGCTGGAGTGGCATGAGAATCGCGAGTGGCTCCAGCTTGCCAGTCTCTCACCCAATGAACTTGTTCTATGTGATAGAGGTTCCGTATATGTCTACAGACGTAGACCAACACTGTCGATGATGACAACAATTATAGGCTCAAATTAATCACACCTGACATTATGTTCGTTGTACCCACCAAAGGCAACGCTAGACCAATGATGTGGATTTGACTCCATTCAAAATAGTCTGTGGCAAATGTTGATTCTTTAGAGCTTTATTGGAATTTGCAAAAAAAATTACTTTTCCTCGTTTGCCTGAATATTCATCTCTATTCATAAAAAGTGAAAATTTAACGGCCATTTTTTTTCTCCTTTTCTACGAATTTAAAAATCGTGAGGATTTTCTTACTTTTATATTTAATTTTATTTATTTAATATATTTTATCATTATCATTCTTATTAGTTTGTTTGATATTGTTTATTTATTTCTTATTATCATTATTTGTTTTTGTGTATTGCGGGGGGGGGGGGGGGGTATAGTTTTAATAAACTTCTATTTCCCTTAGATTTTATAACTCATTTTAACATGACAGTGTATGATTGGTTGGTTAAATGAATTGATCTTTGATGTGTGATGAATTGATTATAGTGATTTTATACTGAGGATAATAATATTTCCACCAGCATAAAGATAAATCTTTAATATTTGAAATGTATGAGTGTTAACTGGATTTTTAGACATTCCGATCTTCTGCTACTCAGAACGTTTGCTAACATCAACGCAGACAAGAAATAAGGGTCGTGGAAATCAAAAGTTTGTTAGGAAGTGCATCTCTTGTCCTATTCAATTCAATCTTTAAGTGAAAGGAGATTAATATTAATGTGATGTTAATCTTAACCGTTCACTCTTATCATTGCGTAGTACCTTGATGTGATTAGTTAAGAGATAAAATAGATCTGGTCATCCAATTAGAATGTGAAAGAAACACTGTGAAAATAAGTTTGAAAGGTTGATTGCGTAGTACAGGTGTATGAATAGTTTGATGTATAACGTGGTGTTTTTTAATTATAATGCTGAAATCGCATGAACTACACACAGATATGGGTATCTGGGATTGCAAAGACGTTTGGCATGGAAGCTTTGTCCTAGGTTTAGGACTGTTTCTCGTCACATTTGGAATATTAGGGCATTTGAAGAGCAATCCTTTACAAGAGACAATTTTTTTAAAACATGATATGTGCTAAAATGATAAATGCCTAGAAAGAAGGAGAAAGCTTGGAAATTATTTTTAATTTTTAACAGAACTCAACCTCCTCATTAATCGTAATTTCTGTATGATATTGTCAACATTGAAGTAACCATTGTTTCAATGGATAGCCTGTACAAATGACCAAGATTTTTTTCTTCAAATTACTACTTATTTCAATAAAGTAATATAGCTTCGTTTTCTGATGATTTACGTAAGTATTTTGCAATTAGCTAGAAATTTGATAAATCCTTGGTCTACCAGTATATAAAATGTATTTGAACGTGTATTGTGGAATAACCCAGTCTTTGGTAGTACAATGTAGAATGTTTTGTTTACCGTGTATTGGTGTTTCTGTATTGTATAGCATAGGTAATATTGAAAGTGCGTTGCATTATGATATATAACAGAAACAACATTAAATCTTGATTTATACAAGTATATTAATTGCTATTTCCAAAACATCATCTAATACTGTCTAGATAAACGTAGTAACATTATGAATAAATCCATGGTTTTGACAGCTGACGTGGACATACTGTATTAAAGGCAAATGTGATTGGTTGTGAGATAATGGATATCAATACCGGAATCCAAGCATTTCGCAAAACACGGGAAAAAACACTTGTTGAGAGGTTATTTATTCATGTACGTATTCATTTACTTGAATAATTACTATAAAAAGTATTGAAATAACGTTAAATTTTGTTATTAATGTATACCGAATTCCATTAGAACGAAAACTTGCAAAACAGATGCCTACGAAAACATAATGTTAATTAATATTGTATTTACTGAGAGAGAGAGAGAGAGGGGGGAGAGAGAGAGAGAGAGAGAGAGAGAGAGGGGAGAAAGAGGGCGAGAGGGAGAGGAGAGAGAGAGAGAGAGAGAGAGATGAAGAGAGAGAGAGGGAGGGATGGAAAAAGAGAAGGAGAAGGGTGGAGAGAAAGAGAGACAGAGACAGAGAGAGAGACAGTGAGATGGGGGGGGGGGGGGAGAGAGAGAGAAAGAGAGTGTGGATTGCGTAATCCAATATAGGGCTTGCAGTCTTTAAAAAAATATATAAATGGGCAACATGGTGATAAACATTTATGAACGATGGCAAAGCAGATCTAACACAAACAAACTAAGTGATTAAGTTTATTTTTAATAGTTGAATTATGTTAAAAACGATACCAATAAGCGGTACTTCAACAGTTTCGATCATACAAGGAAGTCTTGTGATTCAAGTGTAAACATGCACTGATGAATGGGAACTTCTATTATGTGCAGGTCGTCAAAGCTTTAGGTACATCACATATAAGTTATAACACTAAGAAAGGAAACATTTGGAAGACATTTATGCGTCGTTTATTTATTGCGTGCACACCGTCAAAAGCCTTTGAGCTCAGAATAATTGAATTATATGCCAAAACGATACCAATATGCGGTACTTCAATCTACTAGGGACTTCCCCGAATCAGTTTCGAACATACAAGGAAGTGTTGTGATCCAAATGTATACATGTAATGATGAATGAACGTGAACTTCCAATATGTGCAGGTCGTCAAAAGCTTTCAAGTACATCACATATAAGTTATAACCGTAAGAAAGGAAACATTTAGAAGGCATTTATGCGTCGTTTACTTATAGCGTGCACACTGTCAAAAGCATTTGAGCTCAGGATAATCAGCAGAATTCAGTACAGAGTGGTTTACACTTGAAGGTGGATGTAAAGAGCATAGATTGTTGAAATGGCTGTCGTTCTCACCAATGTGTTGATTTTCTGCGCGGTCTTCGTCGCCGCTGTTGGTAAGAAGCAACACTGCCTTATATATATTTATCCCATTAATTTCCCTTTTTTATACCCCAAAACCCGTGCCTTTGCCCAGGTTATATGATTCGTATCATAATTGCATGCATGACATTTCACAAAATCTTTTCTAAACTTTGAAGAAGTAATAATATTATTCTTTTGATATTGCATATTCATAATTATTGATTTTTATATAAATAGTTTATCAAAATTTACTTGTTATGATTTAACTGAAAAAAATTACTCTATATTAGTGCATGCACACACAAAAACATATTACTACCAATATAACTTGGATGCTGGCGTGAGCAAATAAGATTCTTAGGGGGGAAATTGGAAATTTATATTACCGATATAAAGAAAACAATTAGTAGAAGTGAGGCAATGACGTTACAGTCTCATGAGTGAGTTGCCAATTTGTCTTATGATTTTCAATGTTTTTCATGCCATTCAAAATTCATAACTTTCTTATTAGTTATCCGATTTTGCTCAAAATGTTTGTGATTGTTTTGTCTGTTCTTTCTGCTTCTCTTGAAAGTAAGTTATTTTTGGAGTCGACTTTCCCTTTAACGATTGAACAATAGAATTACTGCACTCTACGTACGTCTGCAGGCAGAGGAAACTTAAAGACCTCCCGAGAAACAATAGGTTTAATCATAAGTCATAATCTAATTAGTTATATTGTTTTAAATTTAGGGTAAGGGTTATGTTTAGGGTTAGAGTTAGGGTTAGGGTTAGGTTTAGGTTTAGAGAAATATACCAGCTTTCATCATGTCCTATTTAATGTACCATTAAGGGTTATACACACACACATAATACAATGTATATATTTGTCCCATGTGCATAGAACTTTTTGTACAGGGGCATCACCTTTGCTACTTACAAAGCATCTGCAAATCATCCCTTTTTAATGAAAGATAAGACAATATATGTTCATGGACTTGAAGCATGTAGTGGGGCATCTCTCACATGACTTCCTAGTACCGGCCTACATTGATTGATTTTCATGTTCTGAGTTAGATGGCATATGCAATGAAGTGGTCAAGCAGGATTTATTCAATAAAACTAGACAAAAGTACGGCACTTCACTGTCTTCCTGGAGCTTTGTGCGACTGATCATGCTGAGTATCAGGGAAAGAGATTGTCACGTGCATGCTGACCATTTCATTATTAGTAGATATGGTCTTTGTTTTCTTTTGATACCAAAAAGACAATAAATACAGCTCTGAGAGTGCACGAAGGCTCATTAAAGGCAGCAGCTCTGTAGCTCAACGATGTGGAGTTGACAGGGATATCTACTAAAAATAAGATTTTGTTAGATATCTGATGTCTGTATCAGGCTGTAACCCCAGACAAAACATCAACAAAAAATACTGATAGGAGAAATTGCATGCAAATTGAACAAATGTGTTCGATTCCATAATGCAATTCAATGACATTTGGTAATGTATGGCATTGCGGATGCTTGGTTTTCCCCCGCACATGAACTACATACAAAAGTGTGATGCATGGAGTACCGCCGCACGTTGAAAATATAAATAGGGACTTTTAAATTAGCACGAAGCCAACGTGGACTGCTACATGTACGTGTGACGTGCTTTTAAGGCATAGGACGTCACACGTCCACGCAAATCTAAAAATCCCTAATATCATCCAAGCAGCGAAAAGTTGGAATGATTCCAATTTACACCGGATGAATGCACAAAGACGGGCATCTACTCCTTACATGGTTCAAAGTCCAAAGGGACATGATGAAATGCCTTCGAGTCAAATACCGATTTTAAGGGCAAGTCCACTCCAATTATATTAAAATTACTTTCAATAGAAGCAGAAAATCAGACAAACCCAGTAAATCTAGTGACCGGAGTAATTACAATAATAATAATTGTATTATTATTACAATATTATCATCATTGTTGTTGTTGTTGTCACTTCTACCATTATTATTACTATTATTGTTATCATTATTATAATTTCTATTCTTATTATTATTGTTGCAGTTGTTATAAATTGCATTATTGTCAGTATTTTTATTATCATTGTTATTATTATTATTATTATTATTATTATTATTATTATTATTATTAGTAGTAGTAGTAGTAGTAGTAGTAGTAGTAGTAGTAGTATTATTATCATCATTATTATTACTTTTTGTCTCGATCATGTCATAGGAACGGAGAAGTACAATGTGGCGCTCCCAACCCCCGTTCCAGCTGACTGTCTGAGGTGTATCTGCATCGTGGAATCCAACTGTAAGATGCCCTCTCCTGTTTGTCAGATAGACGTCGGCTCTCTATCGTGTGGTCCCTACCAGATAAAGGACGATTACTGGAACGACGCCAGGATGAAAGGCGGGGATCTCATGGGATGTAAGTACATTTTTGTAAAGATTTAATCATAATAGTAATAAAACATTACACAAAATTATATGTTTGGGAGTGCATTGTGACGTATCTTCAAAAATCTTCATTTTCCCTTGAGAACATTTTCAGTCATATACATTCACCCTTTCATGGTTGCGATTATGTTTTCTACAAGCCAGGTATAAAACTAATCTATTCGGTCATAAATAATTTAGAAAATGAAAATTTATGAAATTGTATGTACAGACCACAAATGAGCGGAGAGGAACTCGCAAGATACGTCACACTGTTGCCAATTTGTGTTTCACTGATGACAAGTTCAACCATTCATATCTCTTCTATTTTCGAATCGGATAGTGCTCAATCTCTCACAAATTTGTTTCTCTAATTTCATTAAAACCAATTTAATATCAGGGTGGACTTCCCCTTTAATCAGGGGCAAATAAGATGTGTGCCCTTCAGATCACAAATGCAGAGCAGATTGATTCCTGTTTGCAATTCAGAAATAATGGGGCATATAAAACCCTTTTCGCTCTCTTTTCTCTTGATCTCTTTTGACGTTTTGTTTCGTTTTGTTTCGTTTTTTGTTTTTTGCCCATCCTTGAAGTCCCAAACAGGGAAAGTGCCCCCATTGCTTTCTTAGGCCAGGAAATTTCTGGGAATTAATGTCATACCAAACATCGAAAAACAAGAATACATTTTCCCATCCATGCGCCTATATAGGAACATTGATGTCGTATATTGTTTTGCTTTTTAAATTTTATGGTAACAGCAATTTTTGTCGGGTTTTTAAATCGATTAGTTTATCAATCATTCTGTTTCTTTACACATCTTTTTTTCCTTTATTCTCTATTTCTTCCTCTGTCTTCCCCCTTTCTAAAAATACTTTTCCAGCTTGGAGAAAGTGCACAGCTGATATGGGATGCAGCGGGGAGACGGTACAGGGCTACATGGCTCGTTACGCTGTCTTCAGTCGCCTTGAACACCAGCCAACTTGTGAGGATTTTGCCCGCATACACAACGGCGGTCCAAATGGTTATAATAGGACCTCTACGTTGAAATACTGGTCCAGAGTCAAGGAATGTCTCAATTAAAGTCCAGTTGAAAAATTAATGTTTCTTCTCACCTGAATTAGGCTTACATAGTGTGAATGATGCAATATCTTAGGTACGTTACCCCTTTTGAATCCCAACTGCTATACATTTAATACACAAGTCCATTCACAAGAACGTGCCCCCTAATGTTAAGGTAATCATCTTTTTCTGCTTGTCAGAAATTTAGGAGTAAAAGGGCATCACAATTGTGCTGGGGGTGTCAACAAATTTTAAGGAATATTGCACCCCTCTTCTACAAAATCCTGATCGCGCCACTGTTCTAAACCCATCAATGCTTGGCTATTCGGTGGACTTTAACTTTCTGTTGGTTTTGTCAGTGTGACTGCAGTATGAGGCTCTATTTATGACGGCCTGTTTAGAAAATATAGATTATAATGTACAATTTTCAATATGATCTTTATAGAGTTTGCTCTTAGCGTGTAGTTCAGGATGACTGATAAGTACATGTATGTAGCAATAGAACGTCATACTTGATGCGTTCAATTAGTATAGCCAGATTGGTTATCTCTTTCTTGTTTGTTACGCTAAAAACTAAAAGTTTTACTGTTCTTGTGTTGTATAAATTAATATTGATTTGTTCAACTTTGTATGTTTTATTAAACTGAATTGAAGAATTAAAAGCAATTGCATGGGATGAGCTAAATCCATTCAGGTGTTATATTACATTTATAGGTCTGACATATTGGGGGGGGGGGGGGTTCACAAAGATCCTAAGTTGGACTTAAACATTATGGAGAGCCATTTGTAGCCTTAAAATGAAATTTATTCAAAAGCAAAAATTCAAGTATTTTAGACTTTTTATAAATTCCACATCAAGAACACTAAATCTCCTTGATAATAGAAAATATGGATGATTTGAATCAACATTTTATGCCTTTTTGAAGTAACTTTTACAAAATATTTTTCATAGATGCCAACGGCTTTCCATAATTGTTAAGTCCAGCTTAGAGATAAGTTCAACTGAGGATCTTTGTGAAACACTCCCCAGATATCTAATGTGTGTCTAGCTGAACCCTACATTTTTATGCATACTGGCGTAACATTCAAATCAGTTATTGTAGACATTTTGCTCAGGTTCTGTCCGTTTTTATACATTTGTATTTACCATTAACTTTGTCCTACTCCCTTACACAATCGCACACAGCGCGGTTTCTCGAATGATCACGCGATCATTGAAAATGCACCCGTCTGCGAGGGTAAGAATGAAAGGACTGTCTCCGTTTTAGCGTTGAGGGTGTGGGAGCGCGACACTGAAACAGTCCAGGCAGTGGACTAGACGATGTTGCCAATTTGTTGAAGTAGCTTATTAAACTCCAGTTAAATCTATTCCCGATCATAATTATCACATCAAAAGTACATGAGGTTTAAGGCATAGTCTAGCTTCGAGAAATTGCAAACAGCAGATATTTCTCTTGAAAAGTTGTTAGTACAACTATATTTTTGAGAAAAAAATTCTTATCGAAAATGATGAAAATTATACAATAAATAACACTACAAAATTACTGGACAATGCGGCCTTTTCATGTGTCCTTGTAGGCAGGGGCGTCTCCAAAGGGAGGGGGGTGGGGGGTGCGACACCCCCCCCCCACCTTTCAGGATATTGTCGGTAAAAAATGCGCTGCCGTCGGGAAAAAAGAGAAAAGGGGGAGGGAAAAAAGAGAGGGAAAGGGAAAGAAGAAAAAAAGGAAAAGAAAGAAAGGAAAAGAAAGGAAAGAAAAGAGAAGAAAGAAAAAAAAGAGGGAGGAGAGGAAAGAAAGGAAAAGAAAGAAAAGAAAAAAAGGAAAAAAAGAAGAAAAAAGAGAAAAGGGAAACAAAAGAAACGGCGGATAAAAGAGAGGAGAGAGAGGGGAGGTAAGAGCCTGAGAGAGGAGGAGTGGGAGTAAAAGAGAGAGCGGGGTTGGTGGGTGGAGTCGTCTCGTCGAGGGAGCGAGAAAGACACGGATAATTATGTTGTTGTGTCGGGTCAGCTGTGTCGGCATTCTTGCTCGATCCTCGTGTACTATATCAATGCAGAAGTTTGAAGTCGGTGAGATGTATATTGTCGGTCGGCCGACAAGTTTTGTTTCGCTACGTGACTTTTTATCCGCTGTGACGACTTCGAGAGTGACTACAACTACAATAATTGTATTTTCTCGAAGTTTCACTTTTCTATAATATCAGCTAAAGAAATTAGAGGTTTAAAGGGAAAGTCCACCCCCAAAATAAGTTTGTTTCGATAGAGGCAGAATAATAAGAAAATCAGGTGAGTGAAAGTTTGAGCAAATTCTGAATGAAAATAAGAAAGTTATGAATTATTGAAGTTGTGATCAATCAAATACAAATTGGCAACTCTGTGACTTATTATACGAGCTCTCCTTCATTTGCTTTGTGCATAATATTCCATAAAATCATGTTTTCTTCGTTATTGATGACGGAATATATATTTGTTCCTTGCAGGGGGAGTATAGAAACATATTTGCAATTATTATTTTTAGGGTGCATGTATGGTTGAAATTTTTCTTGAGGGAAAATGAAAATTTTAGATTTTTGTAGTACTGAGCAAATGGAAGTTGAGCTCGCATGATACGTCATAGAGTTGCCAATTTGTGTTTGATTGATCACAACTTCCAAAATCCTAACTTCCTTATTTTTAATCGGAATTTGCTCAAACTTTCACTGACTTGTTTTTCTCATTTTTCTACTCCTATTAAAACTAACTTAATTTCTGGGTGGACTTTCCCTTTAACATTTTCGGGGAAACTAAATTCAAACAAGGATTAAGAGTCAACAACGGTACGACGAATCGTCTTCCTTTTTCCATATTTTGATGAAACGCCAAGAAAAAAACGCGGGAGGAGAAAATTTCATTTAAACGAGTCGAGAACGGTACAACGAATCGTCTTCTTTCTCTAATAATTTAAGGAAACGTTTAAGCTTCCGCGATTTGCGCGGGAATAGGGAAACTGAATTCAGACAAATTAGGGTTAAGAGTCGCGTATAGGACAAGAAATCGTCTGCTTTTTCTAATAATTTAAGGAAACGTCAAAGTTTCCGTGCTTCGCGCGAGAGGGGGAAACTGAATTCAGACAAATAGGGCTTATTAAGAGTCGAAAACGGTACAACGAATCGTCTGCTTTCTCTAAAAAATTAAGGAACCGTCATTATCTTCCGCGCTTTGCGCGAGAGGGGGAAACTGAAATCAGATAAACAGAGCTTAATAAGAGTCGAAAAGGTTGCAACGAATCGTCTTCTTTCTATGATAATTAAATCAAACGTCTAAGCTTTTCGCGCTTCGCGCGGGAAGGGGGAAACTGAAATCAGACAAGGATTAAGAGTCGACGAAAACGGTACAACGAATCGTCTGCTTTTTTCTCATAATTTAAGGAAACGTCAAAGCTTCCGCGCTTCGCACTACAGGGGGAACTGAATTAGGGCTTATTAAGAGTCGAAAACGGATGGCAAAGCAGATCTAACACAAACAAACTAAGTGAACAAGTTTATTTTTAACAGTTAAATTATATGTTTAAAAAGATACCAATAAGTGGTACTTCAACTACCCTCACTATGAACATAACGGACAGAGAAAGCGGACAAAATATACAGTTCCTCAGGTAGACAAAGGAACATCCCTTCACTGCTATTATGTAAAAATGTGTAGAACAGTTGAATATGCATGTGACACCTGTTCTACACATTTTTACATAATAGCAGTGAAGGGATGTTCCTTTGTCTACCTGAGGAACTGTATATTTTGTCCGCTTTCTTTGTCCGTCTTATTTTCATAGTGCCTGAATCAGTTTCGATCATACAAGGAAGTATTGTGGTTCAAGTGTAAACTTGCACTGATGAATGGGAACTTCCATTATGTGCAGGTCGTCAAAAGCTTTCAAGTACATCACATGTAAGTTATAACACTAAGAAAGGACACATTTAGAAGACATTCATGCGTCGTATATTTATCGCGTGCACACCGTCAAAAGCCTTTGAGCTCAGAATACTAGAATAATACGCATAATTCAGTACAGACTGATTTACATTTGAAGGTGGATGTAAAGAGCAAAGATTGTTGAAATGGCTGTCGTGATCACCAACGTATTGATTTTCTGCGCGGTCTTCGTCGCCGCTCTTGGTAAGAAGCAACTTTGAAACTTCATTGTAAATGGCATAGATCCTGTTATATACTTCATCCCAGATGTAGTGGTCTAGTTGACAAGTCGTTTGACTGTGGATCACAGGATCCGCAGTTCTAGTCCCGCCTCGGCACTATTGTCTATTGGCAAGATATTAATCTACATTTGCCACTCTCCACCCGGGTGTTAAATGGGTACCGGTAGGAAGGAATTCTTTGAATGCTGTGAGCGCCGAAATCGCCAGCCTAGCAGAGCCGGGGTAATGGTTGGAGCGCCCAGAACACCATGCATGGTGGATATGACTGTGCGCTATATAAACATCCAATAATATTATCATTATTATTGGATAATTATGTGCACTATATAAATAACCAATCATATTATCATTATTATATGTGCAATAGCGTAGCAATCTTGAGTATCACGAGTGTCATTTTCCTCGTTATTTAGTATAATCAAAGCTGTAGAAGAGGTATCATCTTGTAAGAGTCATGGGGTATAGAATACCGAAATGTGTCGTCATACATGCCAAGTTGTCGAGGTTGGTGGTTCCAAACACTTTTGTGCTAAAGAATGGCGTAGTGATCACACCAGCGCCAAATACTAAAACACGTTGCCTGAATGATTTCGGGATGAGCTCTTGCGACCTCATGCAATCAATTAATTGATAATGGCCCATGTTTTATGTGTGTCATTCGTAGTATGATGTAGCAGAGCTCTATTGTGAGAAGGGGTGAGAAGTTTATCATTTTAATCTGTTTAGTAGGAAGTTAGATACAAAACAATAATCTAGCTATTGTGGGATAGTACTTTTGTAAACTAATACAAATTTTGCTAAGATACTTGTTAAGTACTATTGATTGTTATGCACATGTACTCATGTTTCGAAATTTCTTATTTAATGTGAAACCATTGAACACCAGGAAGTGATATTTTGTGATTATGCGTCTGTCATATTGCTTAGTACTCACCTTTGCATGTAAATTATGCCAAAGTGGATAGCTTTACTACGTAGGCCAATACCTTTAAAGGTACTATGTCCCATTTGCAGGCCGAACAAAATGAAAAGGTTAAATTCCAATGCCATTTGAAAGATAATACTAAGAAATTCCCTCAAAACAGAAGGGCTTGAAACTGTTTTTGTGTGTTTGTGAAAATAAGCGACCGTTAGTTGTCGAATCAAATTTAGCGATGGTGGTCGTTTAATTAAATAGTCTGATTTTCAGACCCTTCTACCGAATGGTCATACGTTCTGTGCTGCGTGAAGATTCAATCAGCTTTATTTTGGCCATTACAAGAAATGGGTTATTTATAAGGACAAACGCTCGTGTACACTTTAAAGCTCATTTTATGTACTTTATGTTATTACCAAAGAAAAAAAATAAGAAGTCAGTCAGTCACTCAACAGTGTTTGACAGTGAAGTCTTGAAAGTAAAGGGGTTTATACAGTAGGTTTGCGGGTGCACCATGTGTGAGAGAGAGAGAAAGAGGGTTGAGGAGTCCTGAAAAGGACTCTGACTCGGTAATCTTTCTTGGGGTGTGGTAGTCCTGAAAAGGACTGTTTGTTATCTTTCTTAGCATATAGTTCTAAGGAGAACTATAGCGCTTGGAGAGGATGAGTGGCTCGACGTTTCGAACAGGTTGACTATCCGTCGTCATGAAACCTACTGTATATTTACATCACCACGCAAGGCGACACTTACAAGCAGCATCTAAAGGGGTTTACTTGCATAATTTGAATAATACGACACTGCTGAGGTTTAAATGTCACAGATAGGACAAACGTGACAAATTCATAGTTTTCGCAAAATTCTACAGAATTTGATGTTGGCTGCAAAAGGGATACTATACCTTTAAAAGGTGAATCTGCCGCATTTAGCGAGTATCATCGAAACAATCGAACCGTCCAAATGTTGTATAAGCTAAAGTGCACTCGTTTAATAATGGACACTTATTGGTCAATGAACTTCAATCGAACACCGAGATAAAGGTAAATTACATTTTACATTATCTACGATTCCAAACGAATGACAAAATCATAATTATCCAAAGATTACTAGTTTGGAAATAAAAGAACTTCGACAATGTCGTTTTTATCCTGTACATATTTGAGATCTTCTGTTTTTCGCTATAAAAACTGCACAACAGTACTGTAAACTCACTTTATTTGACAAATTTGACCGGAAATGCAGAGGTCGTGGGTTCTTACTTTTTATTGGCATGCATCTCCTTGACAAAGGCATTTTGTTCACATACTCCTTTCCCCTAAGGTATGATGAGGGTATTGAGCGAACCCTTCCCCCATCAAATACTTTTTTAATATTTTGTTTCATTTCGTTTCAAGAATCAGGCTTGTTCATCCAAAGGATAATGAGTTTACGAAAGCTTGGCTCTAAATGTTAAGGTTGTTAGAAGCTTGAACGTCAGGTTAAGTCCACGTTATTATGCCCCCCCCCCCCCCCCCCCATCTGACAAATCGCACAATGGGTACGAGGATCAGGATAAGAGTACTGAATTGATACATCTACCGAGAAACGTGGACTTTAGCCTCTGATACTAAAAAGCGTTTCGAAAGTTACGATAAGTGGGTTTTATGAAGAATGATGAAGATCCCTTTGACTGACAAAGTAATTAATGAGGAAGTTCTTAAAAGAGCTGGAGTGCAAAGGAAAAGGATACGTGAGATGTTGATTAGGCAGTTGAAGTTCATGGGTCACATTACACGTAAAGGAGGCCAAGATAATCTTGGTTTGACAGGGACAATTGTGGGAAGGAGGAGTAGGGGAAGAAGGAGGATACTTTGGATGGACAGTCTGCACAAATTGTTGAAAGAGAGAGAGGAGTGAAAGAACAGGGAGTGGTGCTTATAGAGAAGGCTAGGAACCGAGGGTTGTGGACAGCATGATTGCCAGAAGCAACCGATATGGCACTTAGAGAAAGAGAGAGAGAGAGAGAGATTATTATCATTATTATTGTTGTTGTTGTTATTTTTGCTGTTGTCATTCATTGCATTATTGTTATTATTGTTAATATCATTGTTATTATTATTATTATCAGGAGTAGAAGTAATTGTAGTAGTTGCAGTAGTAGTAGTAGTATCTGAATTGTAGTCGCTGTCGTAGTAGTAGTAGTAGTATTATCATTGTGATGTACGATTTGGCGAACCAACCCAGATGCCCTGGACCCATAGTAAAGACACCGAACCGCTGTAATTTGGTTATATACACACTGTAGCAGGCAAGGTTCAATCTGTGATTTAATAAAAGGATAAACAACAATAAGTCAACTTGCATAAACAGACATGAAAATAACATATCATGTATCAAATCCTAATAACTATCTGTTATCATAACAAAGGAAAACAAACAATGCTTTCTTCACTATATATCTGACTACGGTAAATACATGCAACAATTAATGACGCACCGACGGTGACTTTGTCATTCTTCAAGGTCATATCATTATACTACTACGTACATGTACATTTAGACGCACTACCGTGCACGACAATTACGTAACTTACATACACGTGTACAATCTTTCACTTGAACGACTCATTCATGTCATATTTCATCATCTCAAATTAGTGTCATAAACATCATATTTCATTAAGCTATCTAGCTGTAAAGACAATATAACTCATAAACTTCAAGATAACATATTCATTTCTACTTACATCATTGGGCTTGTATCACAAAATTAAACGAAAACATAGGCAACTCTGGGAGGCAACTATCCCATGACGTGGAAAATCAGTAACACACAAAATCCGGTACGCCCTCAAGCGGCCTAATCCATACACTTTCTACAAAGCGACGCCTGTGACATCACAAGCATCGGCTTCAAACAGAAAGTCATCCTGTACTCCACAATCATCATTATTATTACTTTTTGTTTCGAATCATGTCATAGGAACGGAGAAGTACCATGTGGCGCTCCCAACCCCCGTTCCAGCTGACTGTCTGAGGTGTATCTGCATCGTGGAATCCAAATGTAAGATGCCCGCTCATGTTTGCCATATGGACGTCGGCTCTCTATCGTGTGGTCCATACCAGATAAAGGACGATTACTGGAACGACGCCAGGATGAAAGGCGGGGATCTCATGGGATGTAAGTATATTTTCTTAAAAGATTTAATCATAATAGTAATAAACCATTACACAATATGTTTGCGAGTGCATTGTGACGTATCTTCAAAAATCTATATTTTCCCTTGAGAACATTTACCCTTTCATGATTGCGAATATGTTTTTTTCACAAGCCCTGTATGAAACTAATCTATTCGGTCATAAATTATTTAGAAAAGAAAAGTTTATGAAATTGTTTGTACAGAGCAAAGATGAGCGGAGAGGAACTCGCAAGATACGTCACACTGTTGCCAATTTGTGTTTCACTGATGACAAGTTCAAAAATGTATATCATTCTCTTCTATTAGCTAATCGGATAGTGCTCAATCTCTCACAAATCTGTTTCTCTAATTTCATTAAAACCAATTTAATATCAGGGTGGACTTCCCCTTTAATCGGGGCAAATAAGATGTGTGCCCTTCTAAAATAATCAGATCACAAATACAGAGCAGATTGATTCCTGTTTGCAATTCAGAAATAATGGGGGCATATAATACCTTTTTCGCTCTCTTTTCTCTTGATCTATTTTGACGTTTCGTTTCGTTTTGTTTCGTTTTTTGTTTTTTGCCCATCCTTGAAGTGCCGAACAGGGAAAGTGCCCCCATTACTCTCTTAGGCCAGGAAAGTTCCGGGAATTATGTGTATTATCAAACATCGAAAAACAAGAATAAATTGTCCCATTCAAAGGTAAATCGATGTGGTATATTTATTTGCTCATTAATTTTCTATGGTAGCAGGAATTTGGTCTATAGGTTTTTAAATCGATTAGTTTATCAATCATTCTGTTTCTTTACACATCTTCTTTTCCTTTATTCTCTATTTCTTTCTCTGTTTTCTCATTGGAATTAAAAAAAAAAAAACTTTTCCAGCTTGGAGAAAGTGCACAGCTGATATGGGATGCAGCGGGGAGACGGTACAGGGCTACATGGCTCGTTACGCTGTCTTCAGTCGCCTTGAACACCAACCAACTTGTGAGGATTTTGCCCGCATACACAACGGCGGTCCGAATGGTTATAATAGGACCTCTACGTTGAAATACTGGTCCAAAGTCGAGGAATGCCTCAATGGTCGCAAGTGGGACTTCAATTAAAGTCCAGTAGAAATATTAATGTTTCTTCTTACCTGAATTAGGCTTACATAGTGTGAATGATGCATCCCTCAGTAACGTTACCCCTTTCTAAACCCTACTGATATACATTTAATACAAAAGTCCATACACAATTCCAAGAACGTGGCCCCCCTATTGGTAATGTTATCCTTTTCTGATTGTCAGAAATTCAGGAGTAAAAAGGCATCACAATTGTGCTGGGGGTGTTAACAAATTTTAAGGAATATTGCACCCCTCTTCTACAAAATCCTAATTCCACCCCTGCCCCCCCCCCCCCCTTAGTGGTATTTAGGGTACGCGTATGCATGTTCCCTCCTTTTGAAAACACCTGTTATTAAGTCCGGTGTGTAAAGTCAATAGGGGCCGATTTTTTGTGTGTGTTACGAGCCGGACTTTGCTGCGTGTAGTACCCCTTTAACGGACATTTTGGGAACATTTCTCTTGAAAAGTTGTTAGTACAATTATATTTTTGTGGACCAACAGTTCTTATCGAAAATGATGAAAATGATATAATAAATAACACTAAAAAATTACTGGGCTATGCCGCCTTTTCTCGTGTCCTTTTAGGCCTATTTCCCTGGCCATACAAACGCATCACTATGGTAACATTATTGTATCAATGCCATGTGTTATTTTTGTCTTCAATTTTATATAAATATAACTATTATGCACACGATCGCAAACACTTTCTAGAAATCCGTTCTAGGGCAATTTCAATACCCTCAGAAATCATGTCCGGCTTACACCATTTCAATGGTAGCACGAGTCAAATTCTGAAGTATACAAGGCTTTTGAAATTGCCTTAGTTTTATTTCGGAAGCCTTTGCGAGCGTATTCTATACAAACCACGTTAAGATTATATCCCACTATGTTAACTTACCTAAGGTTTTCTTCTTTGTACAAATACAGAAACAGTCATGTCATTATTTCGTATGCCTAATGTACCTTTATTGGTAATGCATGAAACTTTCCCATTATTGTACAACTATGTCTTTAAAAAAAAAAGATATGAAGTTCTGCGACGGAAATGACCTTTTGAAATTTACACAAGACGGAATAAACATATCCGCTGACAAAACATGTCATTGATTTATTGGTTAATCATGTCTGGAAACAACTTGACAAGCTGGGACAGAAAGCTTGGTAGGTTAACTTTTCTGTCTCTGGCGTTCCAGTGGTTGTATTATCTTGGATTGTCTTTTATCTATAATTGCTCAATTGTCTGTTTTCTGATTTCTTACGTATTTCCTTAATTGTCAAATAAAATAAGAAAATAAGAAAAGGTTTATGCGTTATATCTGGTCTTTACTAAAATCTGCCAACAGTGTTCTTAAATTTTATCGTTTTGCAGTTTACAACTTGATTATCTCAGCTTTATATTTCATGGTTAACTTTTATATTGTTTTGTCACCACTGATATTTTAAATGACTGAATGAATACCCCAAAACATGTTTTTATTAATTAAATGTTATATTGGTTGATTGACAACTCGATTGATTGATTGTTTGGTGATATTTATATTGATAATCAGCTCAATTAAGATTCATGCTTGCGTGAAAAGATTGATTGATTGCCTAATTCTTAATAGCATTCTTTGTCATCATGTGCACACCCAGTCCTACGTGCTACAGTTACCAACCCCTCTCTATCATTCTCTCCATTCCCTTTCATTCTCTCCATTCCCTTTCATTCTCTCTTCCATATCTCTCTCTCTCTCTCTATATATATATATCTCCCTCCTCTCTCTCTCTCTCTTTCTATATATATCTTTTTCTCTCTCTTCTTCCCTCATCCCTCCTTTCTTGACCCACCTCCTCGTTTCCAATATATAATTAAAGGAATATAACAAATAAAGGAAAAATGAATGGATAAGTGATGTCAAGAGTTCAATAATCATAATACATTGCATGTTCAGGGCAGTAGCGCTTCTAAAGGGGGCCTGTGAATAAACAGATTCCTGATTAAAATGAATTTAAACAAGGCACATGATCAAAACGAATACCAAGAACTCAAGACCCAACCCCCAAAAGCTCATCTCAAACCCCTACAAAATTATCGTTTAAAAATATGATATTTTCTGTAACCCTTGTTGTTATTGAATCAAAGCCTATGCATTGTAATGATGTATGTCTGAAACTCGTCTACTGTGTCTTCTTTACTCAAAGTATTAATATTGAAGTCACCCAAAACTGGCAAAAGTATTCATTAATGTTTATCCACTCCAACGTCTTGTAACACACTCAACAGATCATCTTGGAATTACCATACATTTGGATTCGATTATCTATAAATTATCCCAATTGTGACTTTGATGTCATCTGTAATATTAAAACGGTGCCTTGAAGCAAACTATACAAACATAGGTTGTCATTACCTATTATATCGTTAAGCCTATGAAAATCATTATTATATCATGTTCACTCGAAGTGGACATTTTGCCTGTCGACTGTACAATATATGGGCATGTATATGAAGTGATTAGTTTTGAGACATGAAAGTTCTAACCAACTGGAGTTTCATTTGTATCCCACGGTGATTCTGTATAATTATCTCAAATAAATAAATAATATGTTTCAAATCGTACCTTTAAGTCCTTCACTTTCTGTAAAGGGTAATCCAACCTATGTCGCTAAGTTCATTTGTATGCAAGTAGAAAAATAAATGAGAAATAGGAGAAAGTTTGAAATAAATCGAACCGATAATAAGAAAGTTACAAGAGTTTGAAATGGGAGATCACTAAATCTATGCAAATCGCAAATCGGCAGTTTGTTCAGTAAATTGTGACGTAGTGATCGAGGGACGACCATGTCAATTCACCGTTTTGTTGTGTACAAAAGACAAATATATGTTAGTGAATTAAGGTTTTCTCCTAAATGCCATCTCCCTTGCGGTACTACATAAAATATGTTATGGATAGCATATAATTGTAGGTCCTCTGAAAAGATAGGACCCTCCTGAGTCAAACATTTTGAAAAATATAAATTTTTAGTAATTTTGAGTGTTGAAACAAATGTAAAAACTAACCGGCAATACGAAACCGTGACATTACCAATGCAACAAATTTGAAGTAACTATACGTATAGTGATAATAACCTTAACAAATTCACAACTTTCTTATGTTTTTTCCAGATTTCATTCAGACTTTCACCCATTTGCTTCTGCCTCTGCTTTCTTTTAAAGTATATTTGTATATTAAGGTTTGGATTTTCCTTTAATACATTTTGCTCCATTTATCTAGTCTCGGATAGGAGTTTTAATGGAGACCCCGTGTAAAGAAGAGTCACAACCTTTGCACATTTAAAGATAATACAAAGTTTTGGTATGGGGTCATGAATTTGGTTCAAATGAACATATTGGAAGCATATACGATCCTACAATATTCAGTGATCGTTGTCGCGGTCGAAATCGACTCTAAAGTTATGAAATTATAAATAATAAACACTTTATGTTGAATAGCTCCCTCTCAAGGTCAAGATACTAATTAAACTATAAAACAATGTTTATTGACTAAAATCGACCGATTAGCTATTCTCGTTCGGAAATTATATACCACAACTACATACTCTGAGACTTTCATGGTCGCAGCTACCATTGTACGGCCATAGGAGCTATTTGAAATTTATCAAAATTTACCGGGAGCACCGGTAAATCCTTATATTCAATTTTTCTTGAAAGCAGAAGTGTTTCAGGGGCTAACATTTCTGGTGTTTTTAATAAACCCACAGGGGCATCCAAATAAGTCAAAATTGTAAAGAATCACTATCCACCCATTTTTCAAAATTTCCCAAAACTTTGCAATACCTTTAAGGGATAGTTGAGTTCTGTTTTCAGACCGCAAATGCCTTCAAAGTGCATGGGCGTTGCTCTTATTCTTATCTATGACATTTCTAGTGCACTTTTAGAACCTAAAATTGCTATTAAAGTAATTTTAGACCCCAAAATGTGTGAAATTTAGCCAATACGATCATACCAATTCAGCTCTACTTTTTAAAAAATACGGTGACCGTTAATCAATTATTTAATTAAAAATACATTACATGGGCCAGCTGGTTGTGCATAATATAACCAAGACGAAAATGCCAACATAAAAGCCAACATCGGCATTGGATGAAATACGACGTAAAAGGCGCTATTTCGTTTTTTCAACGGCTTTTTCAAATTATCTAATACTTGTGGTGGAACAAAAGTATTAGATATCGTTATATTTATGAATATTTCAGCCGTCTCTGAACCGATTTTGATCAAACAAAGATGATTTTGTCATTTAAATTGTATGTTCTTTCAAATTTGACACTCAGTTTTTCATTAGCTCACAAAAAATTATTTTGTGTAGCGCCCTCTGCAACAGAACTCAACTATCCCTTTAAGAACTCACTGCACTGTTCGGATAAGAGAAGGGGAAAACCCCGGTGTAGTGGTCCACCTGCACACCCCCAATCAGATATACCTGGAGGAGAGACGCGAGGGTTAAAGTGTTTCAGTTCGCTTTTTGCCTCCCAGGCACAGGTGACGCCAAATACTTGATAATGCTAATAAACATAATACAAGATTCTATTCGTTAAAACAAAATTCAGTTGAACAAGAATAATGTGACATCCAACATGTGTAGTCATTAACCCTTTGACCTTTAACATCTGAACTCGGTACTTTCTCTTCACCTCCCCTTCCTCTTTCTCTCTCTCTCTCTCTCGCTCTCTCTTGCTCTCATTTCCTATATTGTACGCGTAATATATTTTTAATGGTATTTTTTATAGAAGTGGGATCCATGTTTGGGGAATTTTGTGACAAAGTCACACATTAGAGCGGCACACCCCCGTATGTATGTGAGTATACGAGTATACCCCCTCCCCCCGAGTGTTAATGTCGTTAATGTAATGTAATGAAAGGAAATTTGAGGAGTTTTGTATCAACCACATATAAAGATTCAATATGTTGTGAATGATGGTAACAAATTATGGAAATAGAGATAGCGGTTTGTAAATGTTTTACCCTATTTCATCGCTGCTATGCGGGCCGCATTTTATTTTATGAGCTATTTTTATTATCGTTTCTTCAATGCTCCGCGGGCCGCACCAGAATAGCTCGCGGGCCGCATGCGGCCCGCGGGCCGCGGGTTGGCCACCCGTGACCTAATGGATCAGTGAGAAAAAGCCCTTTCTAGTATAAGATAAAAAATCTCTCTCATCTCACCCGGCCCCCCGGCCCCCTTGGATCCGCCACTGCATTACATTGCATATCACCAAATGGATCAGTGAAAAAAGCCCTTTCTAGTATAAGATAAAAAATCTCTCTCATGTTATTCCAAAATACCTTCTACTTATGTACTTACAGAAGATTCTTATTAATATCATAACCGTGTGAACATCTGAAAAGTAAGCAGATCACCTGTGTTGCCAATTCTTCTTCGACAATCCGTCACAATATTATACAATATAACAATAGGATGCACGAAAGTTAAAGTATTACAGCAGGAGCACTTCCTTTCTACATGTATGTACGTTGACTTGTATTGAAAGTTTTTAGGATAAATCAACCAAATAATATACAATGAAAAGAGAAATAATGATACATAAATTGAATTAAGTTGATTAAATTGATAGTGGTTTTATTGAGAATAAAAGAATAAGAATACATCACAGCCTCAATGACCAAATTGGGCAATGTCTTACAAATGTACAATTTGTGCGGTTCAGCCAATTCCGATTCTTCATTTAAAAGAGCATACAGACATGCTAATATGTAAATATGTACCAAAGCATTTCAAGGGTAAAATACGAGGCACATTGAATAAATTTATCTATGAAAAAAAGGAAAAATGTCAATAGTACATGTTTTAGTGGAACCTACAGTTCCATTCTTTGAAGAAAAGTTTTTCAATACAGGAGAACTTCTTACCCTGTATTTTGACTTGATTTGAATGGTATCTGCACATCACATTTATAATGTACAATGAAAAAGAGTCATAATGATACTTGTATACATTGATTAAAGGAGAAAATATAAATGAACATAAATTGATATAAACCAATGTTTAATATATACCCCCCTTTAGCAATCTAGCCATCTGACTAGTCGAAATTGGATTCGTAATTTTAGCCATTCCCGTAAAGAAACAAACAAAGACAGTAACGGTTAATAGTATATGAGTGAGATTCCTTCCCGAAAGATTCCGGGCACCGGGAAAATAGTAACATTTTGACGAGATTCCCATTGGTTTACGTGTTAAAACTTACTTTGTGCGAGCGCGGATACCATATAGTGCTTTTTGTCTGCGATTCCCCCAAAATGATTGTAACATTCAGTCATCTTTCCAGCGAAGATTACAGACAGTGTCTCGATTTTCTTTTATGTTTTAATCAATCTTTAGTCAAGAAAAGGATAAGGTAAGAATCCTTGGTAGATTGTGTGTCAATTCGGTATACAAAAGACATATCGACTGCTTTAATATTCGAGGTCTGGCTGACCCAGGCGCGCCCCGGGGTCATGGCTGGAT